GCTTGTCTCCATGCGGTACCGCTTCTCCCCTTCCGACAAGGAATAAAAATAATAATAATAACTCATTTTCCAACACCAATACTACGTGCGCGGCCCCCATCCTATTTTCTGGTAAACAGTGTCGTTTCCAGTGCCGCGGTACTGGTGAGCTTTCTTGCGGTACCGTTTTTCTGATCCGCGGTGTCGTTGGGTTTATTCGCGGTGCCGTTTTTAGTCAAACGACACTGTTTCCCAGTCTCGCGATGCCGTCGAGCTTTGAGGTTCGCGGCACCGTTTTATCTCTTCGCGGCATTGCTTGACTCCAAACGGTGTTGTTACTCTCCTCCTCCGACAAGGAAAAAATAAAATAAAAAACATTCCTAGTCCAACAGCAACACATATCCTACGCATGACTCACACATGGTCTGCAACCAATGTCGTTTCAAAAACTGCGCTACCGCCGAGCCTCTTCGCGGTCTCGCTTAAATTCTCTGCGGTATTGCTCGACTCCAAACGACATCGTTTTGGCCATGCGATATCGAATTAAATGCCGAAACTCATTATTACGGCATTGAATTTAGGCCAAAAATATTTTAGGTGTAAACAGGCAGCAACTTCTATGGGATGAATCGTGACCTAGTGAATGAAAATGAAGGGGAGGCAACATCAGAGTTCTTTGGGTCGGGAGGATGAGAATCAAGCTCGAGTTCCGTGTTCTTTAGGTGAGGGAGAATTAGAGTCGAGATTTAGGTCGGTGTTGTATGAATCATTAACTTGTTTTCTTGAGAGACATTTATTCTCTTATTTTCTTCTATAGCTCACCTATATTTAGAAATATGCAATACAATAATTTAGGCGAAAAGAAATTCTTATAGTGTAAAATAATTCCTCAATTTCATCATAATTTCAACAGAAGCAGCAACTTACACTATTATTGTTTAAAAATCAGAGCTAATTTTCAAAACTATATTTATGATAGTCAACAACGAAACTGATACGTAGCTTATTGTTTAAAAATCAGAGCTTAATTTCGAAACAAGAAAACTCATACGTGTAGCTTATTTTCTAAACTACATTCAGTGGCGGATACATGGTGATTTAGGGGTGTCCCGGGACACCATTAAATTTTGGGAACACGATTATCCAACTCTCAGTAGTAGTTTCGTATGGATAAACAAAATATAATTGGTAACCTGAGACACCTCTAAAATTTTAATAAACGATTATCTTACCCTTGATAGTAGTTTGTGTATGATTAAAAAAATATAGGTGGTACTCTGTGTTATTCAAATCTAGGACACTCCTATTATTAAACATCTTCTCCATTAGGTTATAACTCATTTGTTGTTCTATTGTAAAAACACGATTTCTTATCCCCAGGGGTACCCCTAATTTGAATTGATTTTATGGTTACATTGCAAGTGTTGAAACAGTCTTTTCAACTTTTAATTACATCATGAACAAGGTTAGAAATTGAATATGCGATCTAGTAGGATATAACGATTTGTTGAGCAGTGTAGACACCAAATCTATCTTATATTTTTTTCGAAATATGAAAATACACCGTGGCTTTTGTCACATTTGTACTAATTGAATATTTTATTATTTATGTATTATTTAATTTTATTATTTAATTATTAATTTAATTTAATTTTTTGAAGAGGACACCTTAAAAAAATTATGAATCCGCAACTGACTACATTTATAATATATATCATCAATTTTCTTCACCATAGCTTTTGTTTACAAAGTCTTTCTTTTCAGTCGAGACTAAGTCATATATATTAATTTAACATTCCAACCACTCTATATTTGTAGAAAATATCGTAGCATGCTACTACATGGACAACTATATGATTCTTGTTTGGGGTATTAAAGAAAAATCAACAATTGGTTAAGTATCCACCATTACACGTATAATATAAAACTACTAGCGTGGGCCCCGGCCAGTTGGCTGGAGGAAGGTGAGGTATGAAATTTGATAATGTAATGTGGTGTATAGCTCATTATTGTATAGTTTTTTTGTGAAACACGTGATAAAAATAGTGAATTTTAGTAGGAAAGAGACATAAATGATGCAACGAATAAAAAATCAGCCTTATGAACCAAAATCAAGTACCTGTTACCTTGTGAAACAATATTTTTTCTGGCAATATGATGAGGTGAAGTAAGTTTTATAGAAACTGAATTCCATAAAATCGAATAAAAAATCGCCTATCCCGCCGGTTTTCGGGAAATGAGCATCTCACAATCGTTGCTAGCTTTTACTCGGCCCGTTGGTCGATTAATTTGCTTTATAGAACTTTCATCTTGTCGTCATTATGTTTTCTAGTTTTTGCCAAGCCATGATAAAATCTAAAGAAATCAAGAATGAACAACACGATTTGGGATAGGAACCGCCGTTCCTGTATCCTTAGAAAATGGTGGTAAACAAGGACTCACCTGCCAAATTGGTTTGGATTGAGATTTTTATCGGGTATCAGGGAACCATGTGATTATAAATTAGACATGATCAAAACGGGCCAAAACTTGAAATTCAGCATGTTTGCCGACCCATGCCAAACTCTAATTATTCTTTACTTTTAAACTTTCTATTTGAAAATAAAAAATAATGAAAGAAAAGAGATGACTGCAATTCGCCATTTGCACATCACTAATTCGGGAATAAAACTATAGAATTTCGAAAGAAAGCTGAAAATGTTTAGGATCGTTTTAATGTTAAAAATAACCAAATAGATCTTTCTGTTTATTTTTTTACTAACAAATACCAAACGATTCTCTATAAAATACACTATAATTTAATAATTATGATATCAAATAATCACATAATATATATTTGAAATGATAAAAATTAGCCTAATTGGGTTGGTCGAGGTTGAACCATTGAATAATTTTAAAATACATTATATTTTAGCCACTAAGATATAAAATAATAGCATAATATATATTATGCTAGAGAAAATAACTTGTTTTAGAATGGCAAACCCATGATGGTTCATTTGTTTTACTTGATGGGCAAATCTCGTGTAGGTCAGGCCCATTCAACTCTTTTATTTTATGGTTAGCGGTTAGCCCATTAGAATCCATGCATTAGCTTCTTTTTAGCAATAAAAAGGAGTATTGTTTTTTCATTTTCATATATATTTTACCACCACGGAGAAATAAAAGGACTTAAAGAAAAAAAATGACACTCCTAGACCCGTTTAAATCTGCATGTGTATGGTAAGATGACCCGTTCCACAGCGGAAAAAGAAAAAAAATTGGCACTCTCTATTGGATCCTTCCTACAAACGCTCCTGGAGCAGGGAATTTGAAATGGGGAAGAGTTTTTTCCTCTCTGCTATTATATGTTTTTAATTTAAAAAGATACAACAAATGTACTTATTGTGATTGGTTATGATGTTTGTTTTTCTTTAAAGCGGTCATGGTTCGAATCCTAGTATGTGCTATTTTTAATGAATAAAAAAAAGTAATTGTGAAGACCAAAATATCCTTCCTACTTTCACTCTGGATGCAGGAAATTTGAAATGGAGCTTCAAGTTTTCTCATTTGCCTTTTATTTATTGTGTAGATTTTTCTTTCAATGTAGATATCAAATTGATTAACGCAAGTATTCCAACCCCGTAAACTGGTAATTTTGGTATCCAATCTACCAATCCAATCCAATCCAATTTATATATAAACTAAAATATAACAATTAATCCATTTTATTTAAATCTAATTTATTTGATTAAAATCTAATCGGATGGATAGATTCATTATATTTAGAAAATATGTTTTAGCTCCTATATTTTTATACTTTACATTTTCGTACCTAAAAGTAAAATGTAAATTTTTTTATACTTTAAATTTTAGTACCTAAACTTTTAAAATTGTACATATTGATCCAATTTTTAAATGTAGCTTGAATAAAATATCAAATCCACCAATGCAAATCTACCAATCCATTTTAGATGTCGCATGTAAGTTGTAACCTTGCAGCAAACCCACCCTTAACGGGGTGACACTTTTGTCGTAAGTTTTGGTGAAAAATAAAATTTGTCGTTGCAAAATTCGAACTCATTAGAGTATACAGAAATTATTGTTATAATTTTACTAAAAATTTAAATATATGAGATCCATTTTAAACTATTAAAAAGCATAACCATCATTTTTTTTTAAAGAAATTACTAAGAAAACTGTTTGTACCATCTATCTCGAGGTATGAACAATGATATTTGTTGGTGTGGGGTTGACTCACGATTCGTTCGTCTGATCTCGTCGGGAGGGAAGAAACCTGTAGAAGAGCCGGGGATACCCCCAGATTAAGTTCCGACGATCAAGTTAGTTTCTGTTTAAGGTGAGAGTTGAGAGAACAAGGTAGAGAAATAATGGAAAGTGAGGAGCGAGCAGAAGTCCCCCTCCCTAGAGGGTTTCATACCTTTATATACTCGTAACGGGTTTCGAGCGTCATACGTTATCGATTGGAGGTGCTATTACTTAGTCTATAAGCGGAGTATCTTAGTAACACCCCCAACAAAAATAATCAGCCCTTTGGTTTGTTTAAAAAAAATTATAAAATGTATTATTTTCAATTACTATTTCATTTTATGAAACAATCAAACAAACGACCCCTCCAAAAAAATAGTGCTAACAAATATGGTTCTGCGTCCGTCGCTGACCCTTCAACCCATATTCTGTAGTGTCACAGACTCACAGGTGAGTAAATCCAATCCATCAGTCCTCTAGCACATTTCCACGACAAATAAACAACTATGTGATTCAGTCATAACTCATAAGTCCTTTGAAAGCAGGAATCCGATAGAGAAACGGCGAATCGAGTAGCAGAGATCCAGCAATTGCAAATCCGAACACCATAAGGATGAATAGAACAAGCTTAATTCAAAAGTCAACTTATATTTCATCATTTCATCCAATGAATGAATACTGCTATATGTGTATATAGATAAACGGATTCGATAATCGATACAACGGGGGGGAAAACAACCCAACTAATACAAAATCCAATACGGATCCAAACGCAAACTCCAAAACCCAAAAAGAGAAAAAGAGGCAAAAATGAGAAACAGAGGAATCACGAAACAGGGGAAGCCCAGGCAGGCAAATTCACAAGGAACACAAATGCCAAAAGGGGAAATCTTTACATCTTCAACAAGCCCATGAGAGACACAACCACAGAGACGGCAACGAAAGCGCCGGAGACTGGGAGGGAGAAGCCAGCGCCGGTGACCAGCGACGGCGAGGGAGCAGGGGCCATTTCCTGGGCGGAGACAAGGGCGGCCATAGATGCGACCAGCAGGACCATGGAGAGGGCAGCTGCCTTTGAGAAGCTTACTTGGGCCATTGTTGCTAGCTTAGAGAAGAGAAATGAAGAAAGGAAATTTGAGAGTTTTTGGGCTGGAGGAGATTCTGAGAGAAGGTGATGGTAGAGCTTTGATATTCAGGGTTAGTGGTGGGTTTGAGAGGAAGAAAGAAAGGTTGCTCCCAATTTATAGAGAAGGTTCGATGAGTGGGAAATGGCTGGATGTGCGGCGGGACGCGGGAGGTACCTTTGCTTAGTAGAGTTTCTCTTTTCTTCAATTTTTTTGAGCAACGGTCTGAAGATATTATCTCGATGTCGACTCATTTGTTGGCAATTCAATTAGCATCAGCCAACTCGGCTTTAACGTCCATTCGTTGCATAAACAATCAAAAAAATCGTGATTCGATTGAAAAAACTATGAAAACGGAAGATTTGTTGAATTAAAAAAAAAAAAGAAATATATAGTTTCTAAACTGGTGTCTAACTTGTGGTTTTCTTGTGGTTAAATTCTGTGGTGACTGTCAATCTCTTATTCTGCTGGTGGGAGCATGCAAGGTGGAGCATGGCTGGGGGGCGCTATTTTGGAGGAAGCTCGTCGGATATTTATGTCTTTTGGTCTTCTGTTCTTGTACTTATACGCCGCGTCGGTTTAATAGGGCAGTCAATTAAGTGACATATCACACCTTTCATCGACGATTCGGCTATTTGTCGATTGCCACGCATGGTTAACCTTATATCATTATTACGCTATCTTTGGGGGGATCTATCACACAATTCTTAATTGTACTTCACATGAGATTATCATAATTTCCTCCATTTCATATGTCTGTTTGAGTAACCACTAACCACAACAATAAATCCGAACGAATTAGTAATTTCCAAAGTTGCTAATTTGCGATCACATTCACACCCTGAAAACTTCGAATACCAAGTCACGGCCTACAGAAGTGTCAAACCTTCTCTAATATTTATGTCACAATCGTATTGTCATTAGTCACACTCACATCAATAACAACAGAAATTTCTTGTTTGGTGTGGGTTGATTATCATATTTATAAATGCATTGTACCACAAGTTGGTGTGTTCATCTATGATCAGTATTCATTAGTAGTCCTTGAATTTATTGTAATATGTTTAGGCTGGATTGCTAGTAAACTTATTGCTAATTAATTTTCTCACTTCTCTTATAAAATGAGGTAGTAGTTTATAGATAAACAATTATGCCTAATTTTCTCACTTCCTGGATTATGAGAGTGTATTTGCTGTTGGGTCGATTCGTCTTTTGGGTGGACAGCAAATGATAGGGTGGAAATGTGTCTATGGTTCATGTATCAACTTTTCTGAAGGATGGCTGTCGATGATAAGACTGTATTTGTCACATTTCCAGCTACCAACGCTTTTTCTCGTAAAATCATTACATGGTGTTTTCAAAATAAATATTATCGTGTAGATCACAACTAATATGTTATTTCTACTATCAAGAAATTGTTTACAAAATATTAATTCGACAAGAGACGAGAGGAAGAAGATGAGCAGGTGATTTAGCGTTTTCACGAGCTGTAAATTTCATGATGATGAGTTTTTTTTTTTAATTTTAACCTCACAAATGAATTTGACTCATAGATTGGTGGATTGAATTGGATGGATCCATGGATAAAATGTATTGGTGTATCGAATGCAAAATTGTCACCAGTAATTGAACTTAAATGATAGGAAACTAAACCTCATTTTATAAATAAATATTTGATGTCCTTTGAGTGTTTGAATCACCTTATCGTGTGTAGACATGTAAGCAATGTTGGATTACCACCTGATGCGGGTAAGCCAGGTATTGAGGCAGAAAAGCCAAAAGCTCAAGAGCCAATTTCTTGTCCAAGCAAAGACCATCGTCAATCCGTAATCACTCAACAAGACAAGTAAGCAATATCTGAACGCGATAAGTATCTGACCTATCGAATGAGAAGCGACAAAGATCTAGTTTCGTGAGGATGTGATATTTTAAATATTCAAAGTTCAAACCAAAACTAAGAAATTATGTGTTAAAGTGTGTTGCATAATTGTTATCCTTTGTGTCCTATTACACCCCCTAAATGGAATACGTTGCGCCTAGACCGATGAGGTAGAAACCCAACCACATTCTATAGTTCGAATCGACCATCAATTTCACCATAATGTCAGCAAAAACAACAAATTTCAATTTTAATGTCTTAACATTAGGACTTTATTTTCAAAACTAATAGTCATACGTAGCTAATTTTGAAAATTATATTAGTATATGATTGCCCACAATTTAAGTCATCATAGCTTTTGTTCCAAACGTCATATAATATTCCAACCACTCATCAATGTTCTACGAAATATCATCACATTGTACCCACATGGACAACCGAAATGATGAACAGAAGACATAATAATTGACTTCAACCGCATTGATGGGTAACCGAAATTTCCTTGTTCAACACATACATATGGTCTTTTTTTATCTCCTTAAACGTATTTTTGAAAAAGGTTGGAGTTGTTTAAGAGATTAAAAAAGCGATGGACATAAGGTGAATACTCAGATCATGTTTAGTGCTTAGTTTGTCTAAGAGCACCTGAAGCGAAAATAGCGTAATATCTTACTATTTTTCAAAATTGCGAGTTCATAAACTACAATCTCGTGCTCGAACTCACATTTGTAAACCCTCATCAACAACACATAGAAAAGTACAAAACATATAGTGTGGGTAAACAAGGAAGGAAGAAGGAGCTTCAGAACGACGCAACGAGCCGAGAGAGAAAAAATCAAACATAAAGAAGAAGACGCTGCTCTAAAGATAGTTGTCTCTAGCTTCGACCTAGCGACAAGCAACGTTGGGGAGCGAAACAAATAAATGAAAGAGAGAAGGCTCTCCATCATTCCCTAACATAGTAGCAGATTGAGGGGGACAAAATAGACACTTCAATGTCATTTTGAACCGTGAGTGAGAGCCCTCAAATTGCATGCTCAGCTGCTTGAAATCACATTTCCTCGCCGACGAACACACCTTAGTACTGGCTAGGGTTACGTTGCAGACGTAGTTGATAATTACGCATTCCCCAACAGAAGCTTGTATAAAACTTGCGAGTTAGAAAATAACCTAAACACATCTTGTAGTGTAAATTTGGGATTTGGGGTAGGTGGTCGTTTGACTAATTTCTCTTGAGATAAACAAAAGTGTGTAAATTGACCCGAATTTCACCATAATGTCAGCAGAAGCTGAAATTTTATTGTCTTAATCATCAAAGCTCATTCCAAAACTAATAGTCATCAATGAAACTCATACGTACGTAGGTAACTTTGAAAGTGTCCTAGCATTATTGTTCAAGTGTCATACATATTGATGTAACATTTCAACCACCCAATCTTCACCAAAATATCACCACATCCTACCACATGGACACAACTATGGACCATGGTACTGGTCCAGAGAATTGAAGAACACGAACAACCTCAATATTAGGGATGGCAATGGGTAGGGTCGGGTGCGGGTTTACCCTATACCAACTCCTAACCCGCCGGGTAGAGCTTTCTAAAATACCCGATCAAATAACCACCGGGTATGAAAATTATATAACCATACCCTACCCACCGGGTAACCACGGGTATTCGGTTAACCATGGGTACGAATCCTAAACTATGAACATATACACATATATGCACATACATACTCTTGTCCATTAAAAATTCTCAATACTTGTAACTGTTCTAGCTTCAACAATCCACACAAATAAAAACAGCAAACACATAATAATTGCTCTTGCTTCTACAATCCACACAAACATAATAATCGTCTTCATCTTCATCATCAATAATGGTAGCTAAACTCAATTTCTCAAGCTAAAATAAATTTCTCAAGGGAAATTGATCCTTTGGTTAGCGGGGTGGGTATAACGGGGCGAGTATTATCGATTACCATACCCGTACCCTACCCTTTATTTTGAAACCGGGTATTACCCGTACCCGCCCCTTAACCCGTCAAAGCGGCTAATTACCCTCGTTGACCGGTTACGGTCGGGTAGGGTACCATGGTTACGGGTTGGATTGACATCCCTACTCAATATCCATCTTTTCACCTATAATCTGTAAAAGTTCAACTTAATGAGATTGTAGCCATAAGAAGTCATCTGATCCCATACAAGTAGAAACCCTTCATTTCATTTCCAGATGTGTGACAGGGAAGGAAACCCATCAAACCAACCCATCAGTTCTGTGAAACATTTACATGGCTAAGTAGCTTTGTCCTTCAGATCTAAGTTCATTGAGAATCCGACCAACTCCGGAAAAATGAAGACGGAACAGGACCAGATTAATTTAACAGTCAAGATAGATAGTATGATACTACGATGAATGAATAATGATATATGATTATATAGATCAACTGATTCGGTACATACAATGGCCAAAAACCCAACTAGTACAAGATCCAATACAGATCCAAACCCACGCTCCAAAACCCAGAAAAAGAAGAAAAAAATGAGAGACAGAGAGATCTGAAATCAAGAAACAGGGGGGAGAAGGAAGCACTGACAAATTCACAAGCTCAAGTGACCAAAGAAAAGGTAAAAACTCTCTACATCTTCAACAAGCCCATGAGAGACACAACCACGGAGACGGCAACGAAAGCGCCGGACGCTGGGACGGAAAACCCGGCGCCGGTGACCAGCGACGGTGAGGGAGCAGGGGCCATTTCCTGGGCGGAGACAAGGGCGACCATAGATGCAACCAAGAGGACCATGGAGAGGGCAGCTGCCTTCGAGAAGCTTACTTGGGCCATTTTTGCTGGTTTAGAGAAAAGGAATTGAAGAGCTGTGGCGTAGAAGAGCTTCTGAATGATGAGAGAAGTGATGGTTGAGCTTTGATATTCTGGGTTTGCGGTGAGTTCCAGTTAGAGAGGGTTACCGCAATTTATAGAGAGGGTTTTCCAATTAGTGGGAAACGGCTGGAAGTGCGGCGTGTGGGGACCATTCTTGATAGAGTATTTATTTTTTTTCCATTCTTTCGTCTTTCCAACGGTAAGGAGCCATTGTTGTGCTGTATAGTAAACGTTGCTTCTTTCAGGTTCATCCCTTGTTGGTGCCGGATAGGACGCTAAATTAGTGCCCAATCGGTCAATCAAAAGTGTTATTACTGCGCTGCTATGGATCATTGTTGAAATCGACAAAGAAAGAAAACGAAAAACAGAATTACAGGACACACGATTTGCGTGGTTCACTAACACAATGTGTGTTAGCTAGTCCACGGGCAGGAGTGACCAATTTCACTATATCGAGCACATTACAGATTACAGATTATAGAGGAGATGAGAAGTATAAAGACTTCTCCATCTGGGTCTAAACCTAATCCAATCTGGTAAAAGAAACGGTTACAAACCAGGGCCAGATGCCGAACTCAAATAACATTGAGCCCGTACACCACAGGACCTCAACTCGCTGATTGGGCAGCGAGACCCCTGACTATTCCAGTCGTAGCGGCTGACAGTCCGATTCAAGTCACATCAACAAAAAAATCGGCAAATTGGGTGTTGAATTTTAATTGTGAAATTCATTTGTGCAGCGAGCCTCAAATAAATCACTTCCTAATACTAAATCCTGGTACGAATTAAGTCAAGCACTTCTTCTTCTGATAAATTTGAGTTATTGAGATTGATTGGTTACGAAGTAATTCGGGAGTGAAAACGGGACGGTAAAAACGAAAAATAGACTTGGAGTAGAAGGGAAGGGGAGGTGGGTGGGGTGGCAACGTTGGGGGAAAACACAGCTGTGAAGTGGGGTTCGTTTTGGTAACGTAATTACAGGCTGTGACACGTTGTTTGTGAATGGGGTGGGTAAAGCTTTGGTGTCCTCTTTTGTTCCTTCCTATTCCTTTCCTTTCCTACTCTCACCCAGCCAGCAAGTGGAATCAAGACACGTAGCCGGCCGGATATCAAGCGCAAAGACAGCGGTCCGTCCTTCTCGAATCATCGAATTTGTCGGTCTTCCCAAACGCCCACATGATGGCCGAAGCAAAGCCCATGTGAGCGCCTTCGGCTTTAATTATACAACTGCCGTTGCTCTCTCTCTCTGTCATCATAATTGCACCCCCAAACATTTGTCTTCCCTGGGTAAAAAATTTAACCCAGAGTGAAAAAGTTAAAATCTACTCATACGGCGGTTTACCAGAGTAGTAGGTCTTATTTTCGAATTTTACAGTGAATTTGTATGGAAACATCTTAATGCACCTTTGATTGCCAATTCAAGAATTGGATGACATACTATGTACACGAGTACGAATTCGGAGAAGCGATTATACACGTGATCAACAGTCATATATGTGACAACCGAGTTTTCGTAATTAACTTTTCACGACCCGACATAAGGTTCGAGAATCGAGATACATATCAAGTTATCAACTATGCAGGAAGAAGAAAAAAAAAATCAAGAGTCGCAATTTTCTTGGGATGAACTAGACCAAGATATGCATGTCATTGGCAATTGACATTTTGTCTGCCACTTTAACGAGAGTTTCTTGGAGATATGATTAGAGGGTGTTATGTCAGTCTCACCTACCTTTCCACCTACAAGTTGCGTTTATTTATTGCCATAGTCTAACTATGACTGCGTCTTACGATAAACTGATAAAGTAAAGTGCTACTTTACCACATTCCAACTCTCAAAGCAGCTAGATAATAGATATCCCATGTTGCAGCAACCGAATGTGCAACAGGCAAAAACCATATGACCGACACCAACTGAACCAAGCATAGAGATCACTAACATTTGTCATCACAACCCTACATTCAGAAGCTACATCAAGGAAGGTGTTTGGAAGCCTGGTTGTCCCAACTAGTGTTGTTTCTGCCTTCTCTTTTCTTCCTTCCTCTTCCTTTTCTTATTATCTCTCGACGAAGATGACGACGACGAAGACTTCGCTTTGGACTTGTGTTTTCTTTCCGACTTGCCCTTCTTTTTGGCCTTCTTCCTCCGGTCCTCGTCAGGTTCATCTTCCGAGGAATCACTCGACTTCAAAGAAGAAGGCTTCTCTGGACCCAAGATTGCACGATGATGCTCTCTACCTTCATTCGATGACGGATTCTCGATGGTGTCTTCTCCGGAGGGACGATAGGGACCTGTCTCGTCCATCCTTGAACCTACTGCACCTCGACCGCGCTTCACCCTGCAATTTAGCGCACAAGACGTCATCTCAAAGCAATTTGAATTTCTAAAACTTCATATGTTGATAGCTGCAAACGAAGACAAAAATAAAAAAATGCAGCACTAGAAAAGGGGGGATGGGGCCATAAAGCACCTGGAATGCAAGAATTCTTCAATTTCTTCATCCTTCAATCCCTCCTCTTTCATCGAGCGGCTGCCCTCCCGTACCACATCATTTGATGAGCATGAGGGTCTTGCATCATTACCTCGTACAGACAGTCTCTTGCTTGAACTCCTTGGAGATTCACCAATGTTCCTGTCCTTGTTAATCTCGACTTTCTTACCTTTGGATCTCTCACCAAGCTGGTTGCCCAAATCTTTCTCTTTCTCCCGAGCTCGCCACATTTCATTTACTTCCACGACTCGATTTGCTGGAAGCTAGCAAGTAACCATTGTATCAGTATTAATAAAATAAAGTAAAACACAAAAGGAACATAACCCAGTTTCTAGTAAATGAAGAAGCACAAGCTTCCTAAACCCAAAAATGGAAAGGACACTGATGGACCACCAAGTCTTCAATCTACAATCAATGCCCTAGTAGTTTATTGTTCAGTGAAAGAACATGGGTTATGCAGTTGCTGTAATCTTTTGTTCTTTTCAGGAAACTTCAAACATCCGGCCATCGGATCATGTTTTCATTTTCGTTCCAAAGTGCAAAGAAGTAGGAATAGTTGCTACAGCTTTCGGTGTGTTAAAGCCTCAGCAATAGAGTAATCAGGGCAACCCATAATTGGACAAAAAAGGTGTAACTCTCACCCTAAAAGCATACTTAGGACCCCATTCTCACTCAAGCTGGAGAACAATTTCATTTGTAGTCTGGTTGTCACCCCTATGAAACACACCAGCTTCTTAAGCATACTTCTAGCAAGAACAAAGAATGGCAATATTATCCGCAGTTAATCACGGCAGAAAAGGTCCAAATTCAAATTATATGCCCTTCTAATCGATACTCAGGAGGTAAGGCCGTAAAGGGTGGTTTCGGCAGATTGAATAGGAGATACCAATATAACAGCAGTTTGAACTAAATACTATAAACATAAATAGATATACTTCTAAGTTGTGCAAAGATTCTGACCGATCATCAGAGATAATCAAGAAGACAGGTTTTGTTATCTTATCGATGCTCCATCCTTTTAAGTTACGTATCAAGTCCTTTCAGACTACCAAGCACGAACAAGCATTTGGGATGATAAAAATTGCTCTACAATGCACCAAAGAACATAATTCTCATAACAAATACAGCAATTCACACGCGCCAGCGATATCCAAAATCCTACGGTAGAAGTCGATCCAGTTTCAAATGAAACTGTTAGGAAGTGACTACTAAATACTAACAGCCATCAAACTTGAACAATTAGTTGTACTGACCTTGCTGTACTCCAAGAACAGTTGCAGTAAGGAATCGTGAGTTCGGCCGAGCCCTAACAGTAGGCTTCTCAAGATAAGCACGGACGCCTTCTTTCTCAGCTTGCCGCCTCAATTCTGCAGCTTCTCTGAGAAGCATTGCAGCTATTCTGTTCTCCGTTTCCAGATCCATCACAGCTCGCAAATGAAGTGCTTCACGATTGTCCAGTAAAAAAAGTCTCTACCTATACCAACGCAAATTTTCAATTAGGGTTTACAAAACACTATACAATCGACTCCCCTTTCTCAATCAATCAATTCTCATTCATGATTTCTCACAAAAGAAACGACATCAATGAGTAACAACAGAAAGGAGGATAGCTGGTGCTGGCTGGAGAAGGACAGTGGCCGGCCAACCTCCTCGCCGGTGCCGAAAACCGAAAACGAGTTTCAATAACAGAGACCGCATTATAAAAGAACTTTACCTAGAGGAAGATACAGGCAGCACCGCAGCGGAGCAGCAGGCGAAGGGAAACTGAGTACCGCAGGCGGCGGCGGCGGAGGATGTTCTCTGGAACGGGGGCAGCGTTTGCTGCGAGCGAGAATCAGAATCGATTGAAGTGGAGAAGAGGAGGAAGATGGCTAGCGGAGGTTTTTCGTTTTTCGTTTTTAGGTAAAGTTACATGTTGGCCCTCTGTATTATACAACTCTTCAGAAAGACCCCTGTAATTTGAAATTTCACGTATTGTTTCAAACAATCTCTTCCGTCGAAACTTCCGTCAAGTCTCTGTTAAACGTGGCAGGAGGGGCGGAGTGGCACCTTATTCAGTTACTTGCTGACTCAGCCGGTTCCCGCGGCCATTTAAGATGGAGTTTCGTCTGTTTCTTTCTTTCCCTCTGACACTCTGTATTTCACTCTTCAGCTTCGGCTTCTTCATCTCTGTCGATAACCTCCCGTCTTCTCTTCAGCCGGCCAATTCCTCTGCATGCTCCTTGAATTCCCATTTTTCTCGCCGGAGATTTCAAGATCAAGCCCCAGAAATCACGAATTCCCTCCCGGAGATGTGGTAAAGAAGTTTCAACTTCCGTGATTGCTTCGGAGTCCGCCATCGCCAGGTAGTTTTCTTTTCCAGGCGCTTCTTCCATATGGTTCCTTGGCAGCCTTTTTCATTCCTTAGCGCTTTGCATGTCTTCACGGTTGCAAGAATTTTCCTAGGTCCCATGTAAACTGCGAGCTCTCATGACTAGGGTTTCTGGGAAACCGTCAATTTTTGGTGCCCTATGTCTATTTCTCCGCTTCTGAGTTTTCTGAATCCATGTATTGGAAAACTCTGCTTGTCCTTATTACCCTTTTGTTGATACTATGATTAGTCTTGAAAAGTGACGATTAGTGCTTCTTGATGATTGATGTTCTTGAGATTTTGAGAAAACACTAAAACAAGAGGATTAGGATCAATCAATTCTCATGTTTCATACTTTGAAGGTGCACTCATAAGTCGTTGATAGGTCGACTTCTGCTAGTGAGAGGAAGGAGGAGGCAGAAATGGCAAGTAGTTCAAAGTGGTCCAAGAAAAAACGATGGAGAAGCCAGGTCATTGTGGGAGGAGAAGAGAGCTCAATCGATCGATTGAGCGATCTTCCCGACGGAGTTTTGCATCACATTCTCTCGTTCCTGGACACCAAATGCGCAGTCCGAACCAGCCTCGTGTCCAAGAGGTGGCGATTCTTGTGGAGAGATGTTCCTGCCCTCAATTTCAGCAGGTCGGTCTGCAAGAGGACCGCCTTTGCAGAATACATCCGCAATCTTCTGTCCCTCCGCTCCAACGATGCACCTGTCGCCAGCATCACCTTCAACTTTGTATATTCTTGGATGGTACAACCGGACATGCATCTGTTTGACAGGATCATGAAATATGCTGCTGACTCCCGTCGAAATGGTGGGCATGGTCTTGACCATTTGTCCATTGCCCATGCGGTCTGTGAGATCAGATTCGGCATGCTGGCTGCCAGCATTGCGGCTCATCATCGGGAATCAATCAAGACTCTCAAGGTTACTAAGTCGGATCTCGACAGTGGCAGTGGATTTGGACTTGGATTCAGTTTCCTTACAGCCCTTGAGCTGCGTGGCTGCTGGCTTTACACTGGCAGGGAGAAACTCCCAGTTGATCCATTTGCTGGTCTCCCTTGTTTGAACTACCTCAAACTCTTTAACTGCTCCGCAACAAGTCTAGTATTCAAGATAACGGGACCTCAGTTGTTGGACTTCCAAATTCAGAAAGAGTCTCACACGTCGGAGAAAATTGAAGTGTTTGCTCCAAAGCTGAAATCTTTCCGTTATTCGGGTTTCATAACCGAGCTGGTCAAGTTGAGTGCTCCATCTCTGGATTGGGCGGACATACGCATTTGGTGGGATCCCATGAAGATTGAAGAGCTGGAGCTGCATTGTAAGTATATGAAGCTGTTGGGTGAGTTGCATAATGCTAAATCTCTCTGCCTACGCTTTGCTGACATATATGACAAGGTATGTTTTACTTCTTACTCCAGTAGTAGAATGCACATGTTTTGAACGGTACTCCATAGCCAAACACTAGCCCAGAACATGCCACCTTGTGTCTGAGTTGATTCGTTGGTGTTGTTTTCATGTAATCAATTAGTCGGGGCCTCCAAAGAGCCGGGAAGAACAACTATCTCGTCTTACCAGCACTCCAAAGATTTGGGAAGAAGACGAGTTTCCTCTTACCAGCATGAAGTCGTTGATGGAGTCCGAAGCATCTCCGTTCACCCGGCTGAAGACTTTGAGAGTGCAGTACCCTCAAGCTCCACCAAAGACGCCTTCTGAAGTAATCAACTACTTTTTTGAACGCTCTCCTCACAGGGTGGGAGGGAAATCTGTCAAGTTTGAGAAGAGGAAACAAATGATGAAGCAACGATGGCTTTACGTGTAGTTAGCAGGAAACACAAAGGTGTTGGAAGTTGATGGAGTGGTAGAAGTTGTCAAGTTGCATGTAAAGATGTAATCAGTCGATCAAGCCACTTATTTTGTCGCAAGTTGCAACCAAGCATGGGGGTGACTATTTTGTTAGCTTGATCAAGCTTTCCTTCTGGAGTTGCATGAATTGGATTCATGGTTCTCTTCATCTTCCCTTCTGTTTCTTGTTGCTTTAGTGTCAACGCCCAATCCCTATTTCCTGAAGGACAACTCTCTGCTTGTACTTCTTCGCTTGTTGTTGATGTCATAGTAAGATAAGAGTAGTGTTGACTGTTGAGCAAGTATGTATAGTTAGTTATTTTCCCTATCAGCAGCTTACTTCTAGTCTAATCTGTGGTTTTCCTCTTCCTCATCATCGATAGGCTTCTGGTAATAACAGGTATGAATCAAATTTAATTTGAAGTCCAAGCATCTGATAAATCATAATCACTATACCTCTGTCATAACGGGTACGAAAAGGAGAAAACCACTGCATTTCATAATCTTCTTCCATATTCATCATCCTACTGAGTTAGACTTGAAGTCTAAAAGCTAACTTTTGCTGTTCCTTATTTCTCCTCATAAAAACGATACAAAACATTGGTAAGAATATCCGAGTCATTTTATACTTTTATCTAGTGATTCATCGGTCAATTGCAAAACCAATTACATTTCTAATTTTTTTAATTCAATACAATTAATTTGCAATTATATATATAATTAAATATTATGTTTAAATTATAAAAATAAAGTGAAAGAAAATAAGAAAAATATAAACTAAAAAATCTTCAATTTTTAGGTATTTTTTACTTGCATATGCAATTGCACTTGCTGCAAGCTTGCAAACATGCAATTGGTAGTTGTAATTGGTTTTGCAATTGCAAACACCTCATGCCATGTCATCTTGCAATTGAGATTGCAATATCAATATGGATGCTCTAAGAGTGAAGTAACAAAATGCTCATTGATATTTGAATTAAAAAAATAAGTTGTTGAAATATTTTTGGTCTATAATAAAATAGATTTTACGAGATTTACAAAACAACACTCTTGTTAAAGGGGAGCAGATCAGGTTCATAACTTTCTGATCAATAACTATTCATAACCCAATCAGAATCCGCCATACCAGGGTGGTATTGTGTGGTATTTTTTGGTCCTATATTTTGTTCACCCATAAATTTGTAGATCCAATAGATCATGATGAACTCGTTCCTTCTGTGTAACAATTTTCTAAAACGCGTTCAAAACGAATAAGATACCATATGGTATGCAGTTGGTAATGAGAGGTAAGAATTTTTTTGTCAAAAATATTGAAAATAGATTTTATTTTGTAGAGCACAACTAAATCGTTCCATCTGTGGAAAAAAAAAATGAAATCCGAGTTAAAACGAAGAAAATATAAGTTGATTAAAAAAATAAAAATAAAAATGCATTTAATTCTCGACACTTAAATTTAGATTTTCTGAAGGAAGGGTCTAGATTTAGTTATGTCTTGTTAAAGGCTTTGTTAAACCTCTCAATTTTATTTGCTGCCTTTTTTGGCTCAAGTGAAGGAAAGTCTATGACATCTAATAGGATTTGCGATAATGATGAGTAATGGATGGATGTATTGTGCTTTGTGTATTTGGATTCTGATGTTATGTTCTTCAATCTCTATGGTTCTCAAACTTACAGGTTCAAGTAAATGATTGGCATTGAATTAGACTCTTGCAATTTTTGTCTCCTTCTTTTGCCCTAATTTCTCATAGCATTAGAACTCTCTAGTCTCATCTCGACACCTGTGAGCTTTCCGTTTTTCACTATTTATATCATGACGATAGTCGACAGATTATAATTTGCTATAACACAATTAATTTCATAAAAATCTAACAAGCTAAAAAGAGTTAAGATGATCTATTGAACTAATAGATAATAATTGGTAAAAGATACAATGACTTCAAATTTCATACTATAAATTGGATCAATCCTCTGAAATAAAATTTCACCTCTACCAGTTATTTCCAAAGATTATAATTTTAGGAGTAAAACATTTTCAAAGAAACCAAAAAAAAAAACCAACTGTCGTTAGGAAAATTCCCTACCGACCGTTGGTTTCCGAAACTCAAGCAAAAGCCAATAACTTTTTTAGTTCGCCATGAAAGCCACCCAACAATAGCTTCAAAGCTTTCCCTATAAATTGTTCACAAACCCGCATCGCCATCTTCAGACCTGCTCAAACAGAAAATTATTAAATAAAGAAGAATAAAGGGAAAAAACCCAATAACAAAAAAGCAGGTGCCGTATCCAGGCGCCTAAGCCAAGTCTTCTTCTCGTCTTTTTGTTCGTTTGGAAGAAACGTTTCGATCTTTCAACCATGGCCATGAAGAAGATCTGCTGCGCCGTCGTTTTCGCCGCTGCCTCCCTCAGCACCGTCATGGCTGCTGAAACAGTTGCTCCCGCCCCCGGCCCAAGCGGCGCCGATGCTGCGTCCGCTGCTGGGCTTGCTGCTGGCGGGCCTACTGCTGCTGCGGGTGGGCCTGCTGCTGGGCCCACCAGTGCTGCCGGCTCGGCGTTGCCGGCCTTTGGGACTTTGGTTGGAGCCTCCCTCGTCTCTCTCGTTTCCTATTATTTCCAGTAAGTTGTGAAAATTCCCAGAGAGAGGACACGTGGGCATGAATAAAGATGGAAAAAAATGAAATAATAAAAAAAAAGTAGAAAAACAAAATACCCAATACAAAAGAAATTGCGAGAAATTAAAGAGGGGAAATTGGTCGAGACTTGAGAGGATAGTAAGGTAATTTCAAGCATTTGTATTGGTTTTTCCTCTCCCTTCTTTTCATTTATGTTTCTTTTGTAATTTGCAACACACCTTGATTTGTGGCATTATATTGAAAAAATCAAAGGGTATTAATTAATTAATTTATTAAATTATTGCATAGCTCCACTTCATCAATATACTTGCTCCAGAAAGTAAATTTTATAGCCTATCAAAGACTAATCGCATTCTTAATAACGTTAAATTGTGACCAATTATCTTCTACAACAGAACGTTGCGTTGTCCCAATTCCACTAAATGCCTATAGTTTGATTCTCCTAAAATACTGCTTCCATTTTTATTAAGCTTCGTTCTCGATTAATTATACAAATTAGAACGTTCTTTTAAACTATCAGTTTATCGAAAACCCGATATAAGCATCAATATCAATTTACGTGAAATTTCAACATGGCAAGTGCATTTTTCAGCAAGAAATCAATCAATCTTCATCGACGCTCACAAATCATACAATACAAACACTCTCTGGTAAGTAGAAGAACCATTCAGGACAAAACCATCAAACATTAGCAGAAACCTAACACAAACACTTCTATGTCACTCTCACACAGAATAAATTAAATGGGTGATGGTGAAGAATAGGTGATCAGCTTTGCCTGTATACACATATATAATAAGTATAGACACAGTTTCTTCATGAGGAGCCTTCTCCATTATACTTGTGCTGAGAAAGAAGGCTCTTTGTGAGCCAAATTGCGGTTTCTCTCGATGACACGGCTTCTTCTCCGAATGGCCTCAGCACACCAGCAAGCTCGTCGACCTTGTCCTGTTTAAGCAAACGTGCACACAGCTCGAGCAATGACTCCAATGCATCGGCCCTTTGCTGGGTTGGAGTCCCCCACTCCCCCTTCTGATCGTTTATTGCTGCGAGCGTTCGTAGCAGCGAGATGTGGTTTGCTGTAGGTGGTAGTGGCCCTGCCTCATCATTGGCTGCTTCGCCACTGTGATGATCATCATCATTCCTAGTCTTTTCCGGATTCGATCCATTTTCATCTTTACCTGCTGGATGCAGATCTAAAAGACTCTTTTCAACTGCATGAACACTGGGGGACACTGGATTTTGGGACTCTGGTTGGTTTTCAGGGGGTGTTGGCTGCAACTTCGTGGAAGGAGCTTCATCATTTACAGCTGGCAACAACAATGCCTCCTCAGAAACCGGTTCTTCTCTGCAATTTTCATCTGTCGTGCCATTTGGTATTTCTACTTGATCCTTCTCAGAAGCGTGTAGGTTGAAATCTTCTTCTCTTTCAGTGACGACATTGATCTCCACATTTTGTGGTTCCTGAAAGTTCTCAGGTTCCTGCTGAGAACTTGGTGAGGCAAATTCAGTTTCAATGACATCCTTTTGATGACCTCTCGAATCATCACTTTGCTTCTCTCCTCCACCATTGCAAACACTGATCTCAGAGTCGGTGGAACTGTCTTTAGGACCTGTGATTGTATCAGATGTTTTGGAATCAGCTGTCTTCATGTCGATGTTGTCATCTGCACTAGAAGTAGATGATGTTGCATTGCCATTTGATCTCTCAGGTGGGCTGTGATCATTTTGTTCTACGATCTCTCTGCTCACCGCGGGATTGCTGGGCCCTCCACCACTAAGCCGTCTAGTCAGCGATTTTCTTCTCGATTTCTCAGGAGAGTTGTTTAAAGGCAGTATTGGAAGAAAAACAGCTGATGCATTACGACAACGGAATAGATATGGTTGCAGATGTGGGTGCCTCAGAAGTTCAGCAGCCTGGGAATATAATATTGTTGTATCAGATACCAATACCATTGGCAAGTTCCAAATGAGTGATTTAAGCTCCAAAATCAAGTCCATTAAACTTACTGTTGGTCTGTGTTCTGGATTCTTCCTGAGCATGCTTTTGATAATTTGTTTCCTGTGAGGCGAAAAATTCAAATAGACAGAAGGAATGCTAAGTTCGTATCGAGCCTTTCAATACACTACTCCCTTGATAAGATAGAAGGCATAAACACTCACAGTGAGGAAGAGTGAACAATTGGAAGAGGAGATAACAGCGATCGGTTTATTTTGTTGATAAGTCCAGCCATATCCTGTTCAATGCATCAGGTGTTACTTATGTTTCAAGTTATTTTCCCAAATTCAATCCAGGTTTTGCCCATACTGGTGGCCAAAGACAGATGTCAGATGATATAGTACTTACAGGAGCCTTAAAGGCTGGTTGATGGGCTGCGATTTCGAACATACAACATCCTGGATACAAGACACAAAATGTCACTCACTTGTATTGAAAAGTCTAAAGCTCTCTCTTCGCTATATAATTGATGCCTACAGCTTTATTCAACATCTCATCCTTCAGCCTTACCAAGTGACCAGATGTCAGATTTGTACCCGTAAGGGATGTCAGCCAGGAGTTCAGGACACATGTAATTGGGAGTTCCAACAACCTAGCTCGCAGAAGAGAAGGTAGGTAGGCGACTCAGAAAGAGACATAATAACCTAACTTATCATAAGTAGCTGGCCTCAGTTTGCGTTTGGAATGTAAAATTTGAATTGTACCATAGCAGTAGTACCGAGATGGGATGCCGTCGAGTGTAACAGTTAAACTGACCGACAAAGATACATAAAAATGTTTCAAGATTACGAATACATACCGAGGAGGCAAGTTCTTCTGTGTTCAGTAGTTTTGCCAGTCCAAAGTCACCTGTTCATGTTTCCAACAAGGGCACGTACTGTCAGACGAAAGAAAGTGCATACCAAAGAACCAGAATATGAAGAACAAATATAACACCTGGCTAACAATTCAATCTACATTCTTACCAAGGCGGATGTCATTCTCCTTTGTGAGGAATATGTTGGAACACTGGAATTTCAAAGCTCATATTAGCAGCAATCCAAACAGATAAAATAGTCCTGAACATATGGAAAGAGAGGTTTACCTTCAGATCCCTATGAAGGACTCTATTCGAGTGCAAGTAGTCCACAGCTAGCAACAACTGAGTCATCCATTTACATACTTTCTGAAAGAGGGAAGAAAGTGTAGATGAGGAACAGGTAAAAGTGAGGAACTTGACCAATTTGGAGATCCGATTGCTTGCTTACCTCCTCCGGGAAGATAACTCCTCTAGCTTTTTTTATAAGTACAGCCCTGATTAGAAGAATAACCAATGAGCTAGTCAAATCTCATACATTTTAAAGTTAATTTATAAATTATAAACTAATCATACTAACGTTACAAACATATGAACTTCTGAAAGTTTAGACGGATGATATCGAGCTTATGAACATATTCAAACATACAACATGCATTAATATCATAATAATATAAATGGCAATCTCAACTGGCCCTCCTAGCATTTGACTAGGAATATTAATATACTTACATGTCTCCTCCCTCACAGTGTGAGGTCACAATGCACACACAATTCCCCTACAAGAAGAAATTAACAAAAGATTTTAGAGGTCTTCCCTTCAAAATACATGGAATGTTATCAAAAGATGACAACATCGAACATTGGACTGAACGAGAAGTCAAGTGAGGCGCCACACCTTGTCCACCCAAGAATCCTTGTACTCCACAATGTATGGATGTTTTAGCTTGGCAATTAGGTTCATCTGCAACAGAGTGATCAATCGGGTGACTTTATCATAGAGGAAATCAACGTTTCGAGTACTTCGATCATTTCAACATCCGTCGAATCCAGTAGTTCAATAGCACACAAAGTGGCATGTTGGGTTTCAGCACAGCATTGAGACAATGCGATGAAAGGTACAGACTTTTTCCTCACTATTTTGTTTTTGTGGGTCATGTTTATTGATAAGCATAAGTGAAGGAGGCAACAAACCTCTTGATGAGCTGTGCGTTTGAACTTCTCGGTTTGCTTAGCCAACCGAATCTTCTTCAGCACATACCTAACGAGAAACCCAACAGGAAAAGATCAATAATTTGGAAGGTTGAGAATGCAAAAACAAAAATGATGTGCTGCTAATAGACAAACAACCATGCCGACATGATTGGCGGTCACCTACCTTCTACTTTTCAAAACATATGACTTGTGAGAAATCAAGAAAACCCAAAAAAAAAAAAATTCCACCAACCCACTAATTTCATCGATAGCACGATTGCTTACTAGCTTCACAAGGTGCAAGCATGAACCAAGTTCACGAATTCAGCACAATAGCAGTCTAATTCGCAAACTAGATGACAAAAACCAGAGAGAAAATGATACACAAAGGAAACAACAAATGCGTGTGTGAAAGAGAGAGAATTAGGCGTATTACTTCTTTTTCTCAGCTTTGTGGAGAACAAGGAAAGCAGAGCCAAAAGCTCCTCTTCCAATCTGCTCAATGACCTCATAATCTTCCATCTTCGACTTGACTTCACCATTCTCTGACTCCATAACTGCCTCACAAAGGCAAAACCCATAAAACAAACATCAGCAGAACTGAAGAGAGCTTGAGAAACGAACCAAAAGCAACGAAAAGCTTATTCTTTTTTGGTGGGCAAGAGGGTTTCCAGTATACCTCCGAACCAAGAGGCAGCAGCGTGAGAGGGAAATTTAAGCGCCTGCTGAGAAAGGTCGGAACTTGGAAGCAAACCCAGAAGGGGAAATTGAGCGGAGATTTGTTTGGTGCAGGGTGGGAGTCGAGTGAGAGAGAAAGGAAGGTGTATTTTTTTCTTTTCTTGTGGGCTGTGTGTGGGGAGCAAAGCTACATTCCACAATGATGAGCTCACGGGAGAGAAAGAGGGAGGACAAGTCAAGAGAGAATACAAATGAAAGCAGCAGCAGCAGTAGCAAATTAATAAAGAGTTTCGATTAATTTGTGAGTGACGCTTACCTAATAAAAGAAAACACAGACGAGATAAAATACTGCACCCAGAAAGCAGAGGTTTCTGGAAACTGGAGAGAAAGATAGGGACAGAGAGCAGTTGGTCATAGTAAATACTGGAATTTGGTGGTTGGGTGTATATTGGTTTAGTCTGCACCATAAATTGGTGCAAGAAAGGGCGCAAAGTGAAAGCAACGGATGATCTCTAATCAACCAAAGAAGGAAAAGAAAAGGTAAAAGTGGTGTTTTCAATCGCGGTGCTGGGAAATTTTGTTGGCAGACCATTTTTTACCAGATTGCTTTCTCCAATTATTTATTTTTGCAAGAAAAGCTACCATTTTTAATAAACTCAACTAAGAAAACCGACATCTTAATTTTTTTAACCATTTGTCATTGAGTTCTTAACTATTCGAGATATTTCTTTGTTGGTGTTTGACTCTTTTATTTTCTAAAGCTTTGTTTTTGTAGTAACACATACGCGGTAATTCGAAAGGTCAATACGAAGGATTCATCGCACGCTATAGAAGCTATCCTGCAAGTGGTCTAGTCTAGATAAGGTTCTTTTCAGTGTGCCTCATAACTATGACATGACTGATCATATCGTGGCAAAACAAGCTATTGTATCATTGGATTGGTCACTTGCCGACCAACGTATTTTTCTTCTTCTTTTACGTTTTGTGACCCGACCTGCAAAAATCTTGTATATTATTTATATCTTTGTTACTTCTCATTCGAGGACACTATGACAAAAAGAAAATCGTTAGCTTCTCTCATTTATATTCCGTTCGTCTCAATCTTGTAATGTACTTTTACCATTTGTATATATGAATATGACGAGAGTCGGATATGATATTTTCTAGGGTTCGGTTTGAATCATGGGACCATGTAAAAAGTAAAATTGTAGTGAAGAAATGAAAATTGAGAACTCAGATGGCTTTTGCTTGCATTTACAGTTTCGTGGGGAAATGTTCCCTAGCAATGCATTTGCAATGTCTCCATCCTCCCCACCATTCAATTGTAAAATTCAAACCTAAAATACCACAAAAAGATATCCAATTCATGATTTTATTTACCTCTTCATCCGATACTAATGATCCACCTGGTTCATTTTCTTCTTTGTTCTTTTGATACCAATTCGGACCGGTTAATATGTCACTATCGCTGGACCACACCGTCCAGCAATCTCACATATTAGTTACACGCAGTATTTCATAAACTATATCGTTGATTGAGATTACAGTCCACATAATACGATTAATTGATGTCTGCCATACTATTAGACATATCATTTGTAGTCTGATTAATATGTTGATGGGAATGGATGCACATTACTAAATGACTTGATCTTTCAACCAATTCTATCCACTACTCAGATTTTCTAAAAGACCTTGTGATTAGTGAAATGGTAGTAGAGGATGAAGACGTTCAAAGAGGGCAAGTCCCGAGGGCTCCACACTTCCACAATGTTTAATCTTTTTGTGCTGCTAATGACAAATGCTGCATTGTACACCTACCTATGACAGTATACTCCTATCTACTATGACAAAAAAAAAAAAGGCAAATGCTGTTGTTTTCTTAATTAAAAGACCCACTTTATTGTAGACCAAAAAGCTAATTAGCATCATAGCAAGTACACATTCCCACCAGTATTAATAATAATGATGATGTGTTTTGGATATGCTTAAGATGGGCCATAGTGATCCCCAAATCCTAACTTCAAATAATTAGGCACACAGCTTGAAGGTAATGAATGATGACAATAATATTGCAACCATCTGCTGTCAAGGATGAGGATCTGTCCAGCTAATTATAGGGTTTGCTTGTTTGGTAGTCTCAAGGGGTTCGAACACAGAATGCTGTTAACGTTTTCTCTAACGAGTCGAAAGCATCTGATAATGGAATTCAGATAACCAAAGCATAATTTCTGTACGAGAATCTGAATTGTTTGGCAACTTAAAAACAGCCTACAGCAAGGTTGTAGTTCTACTAGTTTCTCTTAACCTTCTTGGACGCTCTTCTGCTTTCCATTTTCTTCCTCGTGGCTTCAAATTCTTCCTCTGTTGGTTCTGAAGATGTGCCAGTGCCACCAGCCCCGCCATATTTGGAGAGAAGTGAAGAGAACATGGAGTCGAATCGATCTTTCCTCTCGCTCCGCCGCTGGGATATGACCGCAAGCAAGTTGCTTTCTGAGTCTTTAGTTGATGACCTGGTGAAGAAGTCATGGAACCAGTTTGCCATGTCAGTTGCATATAAGTATAAACAATAGCATATGACCTACAAATCCAATGGTGTTGAGACTCACTTCCCCCTTCTTCTCAAGGGACTTGTAGGCGGTTTCACTCGAGAGATCTTCTTTGACCATTTGTCGTATGCCTTTGTGGCTTTCAGTTCCCCTGTATGAAGCCAATTCGACTACTTAGAATGTGACGAATTTACTAAATGTATTATCGAATTCAACTAATCACAATGTAATATGACATTACTAGTTACGACATTTCCCTAGCTAGTAGTTGTTACCTGCAGAGATTGCCTCGTCCAGAATGTCTTTAAAACGGTGAGAATCAAGCTTAGGTTCAGAGCACAGCATTGAACAAAAGACCCTGGAAAACGGTGAAAGGTTAAAAACTGAGTATAGAAGCCTGAAGACCAACAAATAAAATTGTCGGATTGAATGCTTACATACCTATCCATATTACCCTTGCACTGCTTATAAAGCTCAATCAAATCATTTTTCTCTGAATCAGATCCTCTGTAATTTGCTTCAAACTCCTCTATATCAGCTTCAGTAACCTGTTATTTCACTTATTGAATCAGTTACAGAGACTTTATATATAACAGCATGCAAAACCATGGCACAAAAATAGATGCGCAAACAGACTTCACTACCTTTTTGTACATAGATCTGAAAAATTCCCTCAAGTTTTGGACAACATCCCCTGCAAGGTCCTGAAAACAAGAAAACAAAACGAAACAATTAGAAGCAGGCTACCTCAAGAGCTTACAGCATCAACAAATTCACCTAGCTGCTAGTTATAGGAACTTACTGCATCATCAACACAACCAGTTTGGTCATAAAGTGCACGTTTTTCCTCATCTCCAAGGATGGATATGACCTTCTGTAGTTGCTGAAACTTCTCTTTTGCTTGCTGTCGGAAGACAAACATGGTAAGATTATCAAACAAACGAATTCCATTATCCCATGAAAAAAGTAATCTGCAGTCCTCATTTACTCACCTCATCGCCAGGGTTTTTGTCCGGATGGAGTCTCAAGGCCAATTTGTGGTACGCTTTCTTTATCTCTTGCTGAGATGCTGTCTTCTGAACACCAAGAACCTACAGCCAGCGCAGCAACATACAGTAAAGCTAGCAACCAATCCTAATTTATCATACACAATCTACCAAACAAAACAACTAGAGGGGACTTGAAATGTAAAAATTGAAGGGAATGAAGATGATACATGCTGTGAGCAGTAAGAGATAAGCACATAAAGTGCATTTGTAATAGCTAACGCCTGAAAAGTAAGTTGACATACAGAAATGCTATTGCTAAGTCCTCGTGCATTTCAAAGGAATAACTCAGGTTTCCCCAGTAGGTAAACCAACCATTCAGAATGTCTCCCACAGCTTTGAAATGCGCATTACAAGCTATTATCTAAAGTTCAGCCTTGGTGAAATGATCCAAATCCACTTCAGAGAGCTTCAGTTTCTTGTTTAAAATTAGCTGCTGGCACAGCAGCAGGTCCATACCCTATTTACATGTGCAACGCACATGTAACTGTATGGCTCACGAACAAACAATTGCACTATCGATTTATAACGGTCAAGCGATCAGAAACCGCAACAAATTCTAGATTCTCAGGCACAATACACTGCATGTCACTGTCTAGCCCCAACCCTAATTCATACCAACAAGGAATCAAATACCTAGTTTGCGAACTCGGCCTGAGGCGGCACCACATGAAATCGATGATGGAGGAAAAGGGGGACATGGAAGTACCTCGTAGAGGCTCTTGTCGTCGCCGGAGGACTGATCGGCGGTCTCGGTATCACTCTGATGCTCATTCTCCTCCTCCTCTTCTTGCCGTTCCTCCTCCATTTTGACTTCCTTTTCTTCGCGCGAAACCCTAGATTTCTTTCTTTTGCCCATCTTCACAGCAGTTGCGCAGATAGAATCGAATCAGCCACGAGACTGAAATGGAGAACTGAAGATAGCCCTTGGAGAAGTAGAAGTTGAAAGGCGTATATGGTTTTCTTCGTTAACAGTACTAGGGTGAATGGTTCTACGTTCGTTTCCATTCTTATACGGTTATTCCTTTTCCCAATTCCCGCCACACCGCTCCAATTTTCCCGCCGGAGAAAAACCGATAGTAGTGAAGAACTTCCTGGGCCCATCGTAAAAGCCAGGCCCAGGATCGCCAATGAGCGGGCCGCTTCCAAAATTGCCCATCAACACCTTGCAGCATGTTAGGTCTATGAACCAAAGTTTCGCCATTGGTTATTTTTTTGGCAAAATACACTTGTATAGTCATAACTTTTACGTTTGTGATAAATATAATCACATCTATTCGAAAACACAAAATAACCAATTCCGTCCATTTTGTTAACGGTGCCAGTTGACGGTCTGACTGTACTAACGGAAGAAGCTGATATGGCAATTTACTGTCCCTACTAACTGACATGGATTAACACAAAAAATTAAAAAAAATATTAATTTTGAAAAAAAGAAAAAAATATTTTTCTCTGAATCGGGATTTCTTTCGCTGCCGCTTCATCTCACCGATCTCACCCCCTCTTCCGCTCTCTCTGACCCCTAGCCGCCGCCGCCTACTTGGCTACTTCCCTACCTTCAACTCCGCCTGCCTCGGTTCATTGTCTGGCTACCCGTACGACTTCGTCCTTGCTTAAAAATCCCAACCCTAACTGGTCTGTCAGGCCCCGAAGGAGACGATTCTGCCGATGGCTGTGATTTCGAGCACTGGCTCGTGGTGATGGAGAAGCCGGAGGGGCTTAATATCATCAACATCTACATCAAAACCACTGACATATCATATATACCACTGATTGATACTTTTGATGAGCTATTGGCCAATTGCTATTTCATTCTCTTTTATCGTATTCGATTTGGAGGTCGGGTTTGTGTCGACGCGACAACTTGGAGGTCTATTATGGCTTAGCTTTCGTGGTCGCCGGAGTGAAGGTTTGGTCGGGCTGATCACGACTGGATCTACCGGTCCTCGACGGTGATGATGCGGACGCGACGAGGAGCTGGACCGCAGCTAGAGCTCTTGGAGCGACTGGATCTACCGGCGCTCGCGTCGACGACCACTTCTGTTGCAGCTGAACGTCACCGGGATCTGGTTTGGGGAGACGAATTGAAGATTGTGTATGAAGGATGGAGGGATTTTGGGGAAAGGAAGGTTGGGTTTGGATTTGGGAAGATGGGAAAAGGCAAATTTGGGAAATCAAAAGGAGGATCTCGATCTGGGTTTTTGGGAGGGAGAATGCACAGGAGAGGAAAGGGGAAAAGTTAGAAAAAATAATTTTTTGATTTTTTTTAATTTCAAAATTAGTTATTTTATAACTCAAAATGACGTGACAATAATATGATGACTGGTCGCTGACATGTGCGATGATTTGGCATCCTAGTCAGCCTAACGTTAACCTAACTGACGGAGTTTTTAACACCGTTAAAGTTTCTAACGGAAATGGCTAGATTTGTCACATGACCATCCAATTTGTTGGCTATTTTGTGTTTTCGAGTAGTTATGACTATATTTGTCACAAACGTGAAAGTTATGGCTATACAAATGTATTTTGCCTATTTTTTTCCCCAAGAAATGACAATAGAGAAAATCTATACAATCTACCCAGGAATCCTCCCAAAACACTATCTCAGTGAAGCCACCCTACAAAGTCGAAGGAACATAAGTCAAGAGGAGAAAGTAATAGGGCTTTTTGCGCCACTCTATGGGCAGCCCCGTTAGCAGTTGTAGGAACTGCCCTAAACTCTAAGGAGACAGAAACTGAAGACAGAAGTAGGAGACAATCACGAAGCACCGGATATCCGAGGGAATTTGAAGAAACACCCTGGCGAATCTGACGAATCACCACTTCTGAATCACCTTAGATGATGACACGAGGAAGGGACTTGGAAACCAAGAGAGAGATGGCATCCCGAGCTGCAAGAAGTTCTACGAGATAAGGATGAGCAATGCCGGGGTGTTGGGATCCTACTGCCACGCCACATGCCCGTCTGTCCACGAACCACTAGTCTAGACGAGCAACCGGAAGCACGAAGAGCAACATCAAAATTGCATCCTTATAGTGGAAAGAGATGATGATGAGATGGTGATAGCTTCCCCGCAAGGATCATAATCAGATCATCGTACGATATTCTCAATATATACCACCCAAAATTATATCAGCGCCAAAAGCGGGTGGTGATTCATTGTGGCCGACTGACTTTCTTTCTCAAACCAACCCCCCCCCCCCATTTCCCCAACAATCTATGCTATTGCAATGCAGACAACATTTACCACACGGCAGGCAACAGTTCCCACTTCCCACCCTTCTCTTTACTCTTTCATTTTGCTATAATGCTCACGGTCCAATTCGTGAGAACATGCTCTCGTATAAATGCAGTGTCTTTCGGGTGATTAAGCATCGTATATACTCATCTTTCAACGATCCGAGTTAGTGGGAACACTAATATGGTCTTAGAGTTGGTTTGATCAATTCATTTTGCTATAATGCTCACGGTCCAATTCGTGAGAACATGCTCTCATATAAATGCAGTGTTTTTCGGGTGATTAAGCATCGTATGTACTCATCTTTCAACGATCGAGTTAGTGGGACCACTAATATGGTCTTAGAGTTGGTTTGATCAATTCATTTTGCTATAATGCTCACGGTCCAATTTGTGAGAACATGCTCTCATATAAATGCAGTGTCTTTCGGGTGATTAAGCATCGTATATACTCATCTTTCAACGATTCGAGTTAGTGGGAACACTAATATGGTCTTAGAGTTGGTTTGATCAAGTAGTCATGTGTTTGAATCTCCATGGCCCACGATATTTATAATTGATTAAAGCACGAGGTATGGTGGCCCCGTGCAAACTTCGAGCCTGCGAGTTGGCTTTCGTTTGAGGGGGCGTGTAAGGGAGTGCAGTGGCGGAGGCAGCTTTGCAAACCACCCATGTCCTCTTTTCATAACTTAAATATATAAGTATTTAATTAAAAATTATTTAATAAATAATAATAATTTATTATAACCAAATAATTCATTCTTAGAATAAAATTAATCGACTATACAATCACTGTGAAAGAAGCGCAAAAGCATTCGTTATCTACACTATTAAATAAGTCTCTTTCAATTAATGTATCTCACTAAACAAGCATTAGCAAACTGGTGGCCAAATCAACTTGGAAATTTGTTCTTAATATAACTCAAAGCTGAAAATGCTCTTTTTACGCTTGCAGTTGTAATTGGCAGAATCAAAATTAGTGGAATTGAAGGGTTGTTGAGGAAAAGATTGAATAGGCAGAAGGAGAAAAGAGATCCGATTAGATCTTTATTGCAATTGGAATTTCATTTAAAGTATAATAAATTAATTTCTGTTCCATCACCAATATAAATATATATGACGTATTTTTGTTCCTCCAAAATTTACCCGGCCCCTATCCCGGGATAAGGCCCATAAGGCCTGCCTCCGCCTATGAGAGAGTGGTAGTAAGATCCATAATTAACCTTCTTCCAAGAACTTGAGTTACCAAGACAAATTTGTTATTGACATGGTATCAGATCCTTGTAAGACCGAGAGGTTTTTGGCTCGAATTCCAACTATCTCATTAAATAAGCACATAACATAGCACATTACATGACATGCATGTGCAAAGTTCAAACTCATGAGTTGATTTTATTTGAGGGTATATGTAAACAAATAGTTAAGGGTTATGATCTCTCCTAATTCGACTTACTCAAACCAACTTCTTCTTTGACATTACTACGTTCAGGAAGGAAGGGAGGAAAATGGAGAGAAGGGAAAATGAAAGGGGAAGGAAAAGGAGGGGAGAGAAAGGAAAATGAAAGGAGAAGGAAAACAAGTATTTAATGGACTTAAATATTAAAAAAGAAAGACAAAAGAAAGAACCATGTATGTGTCCCTCTCCTTTCTCTCCAAATTGGAAGGGAGGGTTCAACAGTACAAAAGGTGGAAAGTTTTCCCTCCTTCCATACTTTTCTTCCTTAAAAAACAATGGAAAACTTATTGAGAATCTCACTTTCCTTCTTCACTTTCCCTTCCCCTCCATTTCCTTCCTTAGTGAACAGAGTGTAACACTATGTTCTTTTAGGAGAGAAAGGGGAGGAAAAGGAAAGAAAGGGAGGGAATTGTGCTTCCCTAGAAGTTTTCCGCTGTTCTCCAAGCAAGCTACAGTGGCAAGGGACGGAAAATGAAAAGGGACTTTTACTGTTCCACCCTCACCTCCGATTTGGGGGGAAACTGATTAATGGTTGATCTGGGGACAGAAACGGATGGCAATTAATAGATAATAGAATAATTGGTTGTAATTTAATAGGGATAAAGAGAATTTAATAGTTTAATCAAATACTAGAAAGAGATAATTTAATACGCGTACAAATGAACATGAATTAATTAGTGGAATGATGAAATAATTAAATTATTTAATCATTGTTACGTGATAGGAATTTTTTTGTGCGTGTGACGTGGGAAGGAAGATAGGGATGGAAACAAAACCCGAACTCACGGGTACCTTATCCGATCCAACCCGGTCAACGCTGATAAAACCCGTGTTGACGGGTTTTGGGTTTAAACCCGTTACATTGTTCACCGAGTTGGGTTGGGTTTGGTTTAGGTAAACCCACCACATGGGTACCCGCCCACACGCATATAATTAATTTTTCTGGGTGTTACATTTTTTATAGAATTGACGTCATCTTATACTACAAAGGTAATCAAATTTGTATGAAAAAATAAAATCGAGTTAAATGAACAATTTATGTTCCGTTAACAAATAATAAAAATGATTGGGGTTATGTAGAAATAGGTTATTCATAATATTCATTTTCGCATTTTTGTATATACTGACTATTACATAATCAATAAAAGAACTCTTATAAAAAAAATCAAGGGTTAATACCCTAGTTTGGCCCGAAGTTTGACGTAAGTGACAATTTTGGCCTCATTTTTCATATAAGACATTTATTGCCTACTTTTGAAACTATTGGACAAATTTGGCCCAAAATTTTGTTTGACCGTTAATATTGACGGTCAAACACTATTCCGGTAGTGACTCAGCAAAAACCGCTGATGTGGCACCACATCATTAAATAATATCATTTTAATTTTACAATTCAATTAAAATAAAAGAAAGTACAAATTAAATCACTATTCATAATTAGAATATTAACATACTATTAAATTATTTTACTATTACATAATCAATAAAATACCATATTCATCACACTTCCCAATACACACTTTCCTTCTCACTTTCCTCCATAAAACAACATTTTCCTCTCAATTTCCTTCACCTCCAAATCTCCCCTCCCCTCCTAATTTTCCTTCACCTCCCCTCCTTTTCCTCCCTTCCTTCGGAAACATATGAAAGTACAATAGCCCCATTGCTTGCTCTCTCTCTCTCTCGAGCTTTGGACTAACCCAGGAATTGATTGATTATTCTATTTGGGGTTTTGTCATCGTTGAAAGTGGTGTCTGCTGTCTCTCTATGTACGTACGTAAGATAAAGGAGGAGAGAAAAGTGGGTGACTTTTGTCTTCTTCTTCTTCTCCCATTCTCAACTCGACTCTCAAGTACCTGTTGACACTCACCAGTCACGAGAAGACCTTTTTAATATATAAAATATATTTTACAATGTTCATTGACATTATCTTTTAGCTTCGAGATAGATGCAGTTGGCTGTTGGGAAAATTTAATAAAAGGGTTATTTATTTATTATGATTTCAATTTTCCACCGTCTGTGGTTACTTCTTTTTCATTCTTTATTTCCGATCTGAATATAATTATTGAATTAGTAGGCTAGTTTATATATTGTCATCTTAATTATCATTAGATTAATGTCCTGATAGCTTTGTTTATTCTGTAGATGGTACTCTTTTGTAGTTTAGCTTCCTAGGGTGCATGCATGCAATTAACAATGCAAGTTTAATAGTAAATAATAATGGGTACCTGATACTTAATTAAGGGTAAATGATAGTCACAGAGCAAAAAATTATCCAATATTATTTATTTTAGTCAAGTTTGGAAGAACATGCACGGTATGGACAAAGTTTTCAGTTAGGATAGGTCGGCAGAGGTGGTGGTTGGATATCATAATTTACGGCTTAATTGCAAGTTTGGTCACTCGAATTGCTATAAAATTTCACGTTTGCCACTCAAATTAATTTATTCCATTTATAGTCACTCGAATTAGTTGAACAGTTCAAGTTCGGTCACTCTCCGTTAACCTCCGTTAACTTTGACTGACGTGGCGGTCAACTCTGACAGTTGACCGTTAAATGTGTGACGTGGCAAATAAAAAATAATTAAAAAATAAAAATTAAATTTTTAGAAATTACACATCATTATCACAAAAAAATTATAATTATAAAAAATGAAAAAAAAAGCTCCCTCAATTTTAAATGACAATTTTTCAATCATCAACCCAGAATCAGAAGGGTAATCGGAGACGGAGACCACGATCCACTTCTCGGTGCGGAAATTGGCGTAAGGAGTGGAAGTGTCTCTCAAGGTAGGCACGTTGTTCCAGTCGATGTGAGGATGGTGAAGGGTTTTCTCGATGGGGTGGGACTTCGACTGGAAGTAGAGGAAAGCTGAGGTGTCGCCGACATTGCGGAGGAAGAAGAGGGCAGCGACGGTGGCGACGAGGAACACGATTGTGACGATCTTGTAGAGATTGTCGGAGAACCAAGTGCAGAAGTCGAGCGATTTGGCTGGAGAGAATCGGCGGCCGGAAATTGGGTGGTGAAAGGCGGTGGTGGGCAGTTGCGATTTCGAGTTGGATTTGGATTTGGGCGATTTGGGCGGAGGCGGCGACGCCGGTAAACGGTCCTGGACCAACATTGCTTCTTCAGCTCCGCTGCTCACTGCGGCCGGCGCTGAATCTCGCTCCTTCCCCCCCTCCACTTCCACCTCCGATTCCAACCAAACTATGGGACCACCAGACAGAATTGGACCTGCTGCGGTCGTCCCACGTGTCGTTGGAGCCGCTGAGGGCGAAGAGGATGTGGGAGAGGTCGGTCGGGGAATTATTGTTAGGGTTCCGGCGGTTGGCGGTGGTGGGGGTGATTCCGCTTCTGTTGGGGTCGTAGAAGGAGGTGTAGAGGCCGATGGAGATGAATGAGAGGACGAAGAGGAGGATGAGGGTTTTCCCGACGATGAGGATTAATTGGAACGACTTGTAGTCTTGTTTGTTGTGCTTCGTCGTTGTCGTCGACGGTGGCGGTCGATTGTGGATCATAATTGAATTTGAATTGTGCACCCCACCGTCGATGTTGGGGTTGCAGGGGGAGGAAACGGTTGCGCTGAATCTTCAACGAAGGGACGTAGGATGGAAGATCATGAGAGAAAGTACATTCACGTAAAGATTGAGAGAGGAGCTTTTTTTTCATTTTTTATAATTATAATTTTTTTTGTGATAATGATGTGTAATTTCTAAAAATTTAATTTTTATTTTTTAATTATTTTTTATTTGCCACGTCACACATTTAACGGTCAACGGTCAGAGTTGACCGCCACGTCAGTCAAAGTTAACGGAGGTTAACGGAGAGTGACCGAACTTGAACTATTCAACTAATTCGAGTGACTATCAATGGAATAAATTAATTTGAGTGGCAAACGTGAAATTTTATAGCAATTCGAGTGACCAAACTTGCAATTAAGCCCATAATTTACGTATGCATTCGACAGCTGAGATTATTGTTTATCAAGAGACTTTTACTTCTATCAGCATGATATTCGATTTGGAGTAAAAGAAAAAAAAAAGTAAATTCCAATGAAATGGTGCCTTAACGTAGGGGAGATGATGAATTTGAATTTAGAACTTGTTTCGATGTAAACCCAACTCCTTAACACTTAGGTTACACAACTTTGTTGGATTATGATACAACTATATTACGTAAAATTTATAACACATATTCGAAAATGATTGATCATTACATTCTTATTGAAGCTGGTAAATAGATGTCTCAAAGCTGAGTCTCTGTTAAAATAGATGGTCAAACTTGCATAAAAAAATTAGGTAAAAAGTAGAAAAACAAAGTAAATTTTGGGTGAGAAGATGGCAAAAGAACAGGAGAGATGGCAGGCCTGCAACTAATAACATTAATGGGTAAAAAAGAAAATGTTGGTGATGGTGCTGCCCATGATGTCTGCTGATAAGACATTTCATTATTCCTATGGGTGCCTTGCCTTATCAGAAAGAAGCCCAAAAAGAGCTGAGCTGAACTGAACAATAAACGCGAGAGAACTTACTCCATAGTAAATGCCTGCCATGTAAAGAACAGAACAGTAACTTCTGTTTGAGGAGAGTCAAACATTTTGAACGTGGTAAAGCATATGGAAGAAGGGTTAAAAAGGTTAAAACTTGAAAGTGGTGGGAAAAAAGCACTCTTGCTCAGTAATCTCCGTGATTCATTATAATCGATTTTTTTTTGAATGATTTTCAGAAGGCGACTTATGATATTGTTGTGTCAATTGCCAATTTTTTGCTTTTTCATTTAGATGCATTTATGTGGTCGAACCTAGATGCGTTGTGGTTGGCTCAAGTAAGTGGTAACCATTTTTTCGAAATGTAATTTAAGTTGCTTCTTGTAGAAAAAATTGGTTAGGTCAAGTAATTAAACTAAACCCTAATCTTCCCCTTGAAACCAACTTTCCTCTTTTCCTTTCATGGATTCTTCCTCATATCAAAAGATGTTTCTTCTGCCACCACCAGTCCACCACCACCACCACTTCCTCATCCTCTTCTTCCATGGCCTGGAACCCTAGAAAAGCCTGACCCCAAAAACAAAAGAAAGTGACAAAATTGTCACCATCAAGCTTCTTGGTGAATTGTGAAATGCTGATGATAGCTTGATGGACTATATATGTCCTAGTAAGTCCTATCCTTTCCTCAAGTCAACTCCCCATTCCCAATTTTATTCAACAAAAAAAAAAAAAAAAGTTTCTTCCAACCAGCCTTTTATCACTATTCACCACCCACTGACCACATAGACAAAGAAAAGATGCCCTTTGCTTAATCAAATAATAATTTAACCCTGAGAAAGTCAGCTGCAATGCAACAGTCTTTCCTTCAGTTATTAATTTATTTCTCTTATCATGATTATGATTTAATAATACTAATCACCTTTTTGGTTGTTTCCCAACTTAAACAAACTAGCATAAGATTGGCAGAGATACCCAAAAACTTGTCTCCTCCATTTCTTTTTTTTTCCCCTCCTTTTAACCATAATTGATCTAAGTGCATTAGTTAAAATGATCTTACGTTTAAATCACGAAATTTAAAATTTACTCTCATAACACCATACTGTAATCGCTAATCTTAAAAATTTTAGTCGCCATTCACTAGCATTCATTTCGTATGATACAATATAGAATTACACTCACTTATAAACTTATCGTTGTAATGATCGTTAAATAAATTTATAACATTGAAAAACACTTCTAAATTACAAGTAAATCATAAATAATTTTTCGTATAAATTATCACATATTATTGACTAAATGTTCAAATGATTTTCAACGAATCGTATTATCGAAATAATATAAACTCTAAATTTTGAGTTTCTTATGTCAATGTTATTATCATTTATTTTTAGTTCACAATTCCCATTTCCCAACAACACATCTCTCTCACTCTTCACTCTCTTCACTGCTACTATATACACAAAGCACAAGAGCAGAGCCAAAAGCAAAAACCCTTTCTTTCTTACTCTCTCAGTTCCTGGTTCTTCAATGGCTACCAAAATCTCAACCTGCATTCCCTTTCTTCTATCCCTAGCTTTCACATTTGCAGCCCTCACTTCATCCACAACTGAAACTGACATTCTCCTCACATTCAAGAGCTCCATTAAAGACCCAAGCAACTCTCTCTCCACTTGGTCCACCGCCTCGCCGGATCACCACTGTAACTGGACCGGAATCACCTGCTCCGCCCCTCCTTCAGCCACCGTGACCGGCGTCAACCTCCAAAGTTTCAATCTTTCCGGCGAAATCTCTGCTTCCATCTGTCAGTTGCCCAAATTGACCATTCTTGACCTCGCAGACAACCTCTTCAACCAGCCAATCCCACTTCAACTCTCTGCTTGCACTTCGCTGGAGACTCTGAATCTCAGCAACAATCTCATTTGGGGCACTATCCCGGACCAGATTTCTCGGTTCAAGTCACTGAAGGTTGTGGATTTGAGCAGGAATCATGTGGAGGGGCGGATTCCGGAAGCCATTGGTGGGTTGATCAACTTGAGGACGCTCAATTTGGGGAGCAACTTGCTTTCTGGTAATGTACCTAGCGCATTTGAAAATTTGACCGAGCTGGTTTATCTTGATTTGTCTCAAAATAGCTATTTGGTGAGTGAGATTCCTAGTGGGATTGGGAAGCTTGAGAAGCTTGAGCAGATTCTGCTGCAAAGTTCTGGTTTTTATGGCCAGGTTCCTGATTCCATTGTGGGTTTGCAGAGTTTGGTCATTTTGGACCTGTCTCAGAACAATCTTAGTGGTGTGTTCCCTCAAAAGTTTGGTTCTTCTCTCAAGAACCTTGTTTCTTTCGATGTTTCTCAGAACAAGCTTTTGGGTTCATTTCCAGAGGGTTTGTGCAATGCCAAAGGGCTTATAAATCTCAGCCTTCATACCAATTCGTTTGATGGGACTTTACCTAGTACCTCCATTGATCAGTGCTTGAATCTGGAGAGGTTTCAAGTTCAGAATAATGGCTTCTCTGGCGATTTCCCAGATGGGTTGTGGTCATTGAGCAAGATTAAGCTGATTAGAGCTGAAAACAACAGATTTTCTGGCAGGATACCTGACTCCATATCCGAAGCTGCTCAACTCGAGCAAGTTCAGATAGATAACAACAGCTTCAGCAGCGAAATCCCAGCTGCTCTCGGGTCGGTAAAGACCTTGTACAGATTCTCAGCTTCCCTCAATGATCTCTATGGTGAATTACCCCCAAGCTTTTGTGATTCTCCTGTAATGAGCATCATGAACCTCTCCCACAACTCTCTTTCTGGCCCAATTCCACAGCTGAAGAATTGCAGGAAGCTAGTTTCACTGTCACTGGCAGAGAACAGTCTCACGGGGGAAATCCCAGCTTCCCTTGCTAACCTGCCAGTACTAACGTACCTCGACCTGTCTAACAACAATCTCACTGGCTCGATCCCTCAAGGGCTTCAGAACTTGAAGCTTGCTCTCTTCAACGTGTCCTATAACCGGTTGTCCGGTAGAGTGCCTCCAGCTCTCATCTCGGGCCTGCCTGCTTCTTTCATGGAAGGAAATCCCAACCTTTGTGGTCCTGGATTGCCCACACCTTGTTCAGATGAGCTTGCCAGAGGCCATAATCACAATCGACATAGTGCTGTGGCATTTGCCCTTATCACAATATCATTTGGTGTTGTTATTTTACTCGTTGCAGCTGGAATTTTCACTTACCATCGATCTTTTCATCGGAAAGCTCAAAAGGGAGGTTGGCATTCTGTGTTCTTTTATCCTCTAAGGATCACTGAGCAAGACCTAATCATGGCAATGAATGAGAAAAGTGCGATGGGCAGCGGTGGAGGAGCTTATGGTAGAGTTTATGCTGTGACACTACCTAGTGGCGAGCTTGTTGCTGTCAAGAAGCTTGTGAACATTGGGAACCAGTCTTCAAAATCACTGAAAGCTGAAGTGAAGACACTGGCCAAGATCAGACACAAGAACATTGTGAAAGTTCTCGGGTTCTGCCATTCGGATGAATCGATCTTTCTGATCTATGAGCACTTGGAGAAGAGAAGTTTAGGGGATATGATCAAGAGACCTGATTTCCTGTTGCAATGGAGTTCAAGATTGAGGATTGCCATTGGAGTTGCTCAAGGGCTAGCTTACCTCCACAAGGACTACATCCCACATTTACTACACCGAAACGTCAAGTCCAACAACATTCTTCTGGATGCTGATTGTGAACCAAAGCTCACAGATTTCGGTCTCGATAGAGTCGTGGGAGAAACCGCTTTTCAGTCGACCATAGCTTCGGAGTACGCACCTTCCTGTTACATTCCTCCTGGTAAGAATACTATCATGATTTCCATGAGAATAGCTCTTATGAAAATGATCTATCTCATTTTAAGTAATCCAACCTAACTTCATAATATTTGCAGAACATGGATACAGCAAGAGAGCAACTGAGCAAATGGACGTGTACAGCTACGGATTGGTGCTCCTAGAGCTCATATCAGGAAGACAAGCTGAGCAAGATTGCTCAGGAGGTGGAGATTTTGTAGACATCCTGAAATGGGTTCGAAGGAAGATCAACATAGCTAATGGAGCTATCCAAGTTCTGGACCCCAAGATATCAAACTCTTCCCAGCAAGAAATGCTGGCAGCTCTTGACATTGCCCTTTGTTGCACTTCGGTGGCACCTGAGAAACGGCCATCGATGTACGAGGTTGTTAGAGCATTGCAGTCCTTGAGCACTAGGAGGGTCCAAATTCCCGAAACAGCAGAGGAACCCGACGATGTCCCAGTTTGACAAATGGACATCAACAAAGGGTTGCTGCTTTTGAGAGTTCTGTTATCGGCCCTTGTTATTACCTGTATCTGTAAATGATTCACATTAGAGCTCGCTGCCCTATCATATGTTGTCGAGAATAGAGAAGAAAATGTGATGTTCATTGTATATTATATGATCTGCCAGAACTTGATAGGGGACTTCTATAGGGATGCTAGAGCACTTCCTTCTTTATGTTCTGTATTATTGTACACAAAGTTGAAGATCCAAGAATGAAACTTTTGGCTTGGTAGATCATGGTGCGTGTATTAACATGATACTAATGTATGTTTAAAATAAGTTTGGTTTGAAAATGTTCCTATATAAATGTTGTGATTCTAGAGATAAAGGAAGACCGAAATGTTCATTTCGTCCCCTTCTTAATTTGGCTAATGAAAATCATTAGAGCTATAATATTTGATGTCTAGACTGAGGTTTAAATGTGTACCAGTCAAGTATATTGTCCAGAAAGGTACACACAAACACAAATAAAGTAAAAACCATTTCTTTGCCTCTTGAAGTAAGCAGTGAGGGATGAGACCCGGTGACAACCCTTCTGGTAGCGCTATCATTTTATCTGGAAACGCTATCAGATGGAGTGGTACGCTACTGGAGTGTGGTTGTGAAAATGACACCCCCTAAAGGGGTGTCACGAGATCTCATCTCAAACAGTGAAGAGTAAATATTTTTACCTACCTTAATGTCATATTCTTTGATATCTAAATAAGAACAAGAGCTCCTCAAGGTAATATGACAACATATTTGAAAAACACAGAGAACATAGAATAGAAATCCTAAGTGGACAAGGATTGTCATCTAAATGGTTACATTTTAGGGGCAAAGCACAAGGACTTCTTTAGAAGTTGACAATCTTGATACTACTCTCACAAACACGCTTAACTTTGGAGTTCGGATGCGATTTACCGTACGAGTGTTGGTATAATGGCAAACTATTAAATAGTTGCTTACCTCACCAAGAAAATTCATTTTTCTTGATAACTTTCTAAAACATCATCCATCAATGAAAAGGTAAGTTCGAAAAGAATAAAATAACATTTATATACTTACGCAAATCACAACTTTCCTTTATTTTATATGGCAAATTATATAATTAAATTGTGACACTCTCCTCGCCAGCCCGGGGTGATTATGTAATCTGACACTTCACAAATTTAAGGCAACAAATCGAACTCTTTTGCAAAATATAACATTCTTACTATCACCTCCATTTCATATTCTGAGCAACATCATACATAATCTTCCATAGATGAGGTGAGACATTGTCATTCCTGCCATTGTTAGGCTTTGACCACTCTAAAACATTATCAATGATAGACCAAATATCAAATTCACCAATAATGCTAGCTTCTCTCTTTACACATCCATGGTGCCTATAAATACAGCTCCCATCTCTTGAACCAAAGGCACCAAGCAAATTTGCTAAAGCACAATCCTCTTCTCAGCAATACAGCCATCTCCCAATCTCTCCCTCAGGCAATACTTCCAACCCTCTAGTTTGCTTTCAGCAGAAATTGTATTGCTCTTGATACACTAATCATTTCATTCACCCTATACAAATCACTGTTCATTATATACTTATGCATCTGTATTTCATGTTAAAATTCCTGACTGATTAATCAGTGTGCTCACCAGCTCTCACTGAAGAAAAGAATGGCCTCTGTGAATGAATCCATGAACCTTATTGATGTCAACCAGATCCCACCATCATCAACCTTGCCTGCTGCTGCCACCATCCCAACCGGTGACCCGATTCTCCTCCAGCACACCTTTCAGGACCCTTTCAGTGACATTTTACTCAGAATGAACCTAGCTCAACAGGGATCCATTGTCCAGGGTATTGCTGCTGATGACAACAATACCATCGCCTCGAACAAGCGAGGGAAAAGCACAAGGTATGGTGATTCTGTAACTAAGCGATTTGTAAAACGTCAACAGATATGTGTGTGTGTCTCTGAGAATTAATGATCAGTTGCAGGAGGAAGACTAAGGCTAAGGCTAGGGCTGCTAATGCAGAGAGCTCTGATGCCGCGATGCAACGTAGGGTCCTCCGAAAGAGGAACAGGAGAAAACTCTGTGAAGGCTCCGGGTTCAGGGGTGTCAGCAGGTATCTTTTTTCTGTTTTCTTTCGTTCTCTGAGGATCCAAGTTTATCATTTTGGGGGGTAAAAGCATTGACCTTTACATTATTCTTCAACCCTTTCAATTTAGGACCATTGGAGGAGAGTATGAGGCATTCCTGTGGATCAAATCTGATCCTGCTGGAAGGGCTAAGTCAGGTTCCTGAGAAACAATATCATACATTTCTAGCCATTCTACAATTGTGATACCCCTTTTTTTTTTCCTGCTGTTATTGGCACCTAATTTTTCTCTGTTTTCCTGTATCCTTCTTTGATGTTGAAAACTATGAAGTTTACATTGGTGCATTTCACAATGAGAGAATGGCTATTAGGGCTCATGACTTGCTTTCTCTCAAGTTGCGGGGAGCATTTGCAAAAATCAATTACCCAGTAAGAGATTTTCAAGCCTCTTTCCTCCCTTTTATCTGAAAACTTGTGTTAACAACGAAATCGCACTCGAGAGGCTCAGAAGGAGGGTTTTGTAACCATCCTCTCCTTTTCTTTTCCAGGTGAAATATTACCAGAAAGAACTGGAGGAGATGAAGAACATGTCCATACGTGAGTACTTCGCGGCAATTCGAAGGTAAGAAAAGAAGATCCAAATCAGTAACTCCATGTTATCACTGATGCAAATCTCAAATCTATATATCGAAATTTGCAGAACCAGCAATGGCTACGTGAGAGGCACCTCTAAGTACCGCGGAGTCATTAGGTCCTTTTTCACTTCTTCATCTATCCAATTAGGCTTATGGTGTTCTGCATTTTCAGATTTTCCCCAACATTTCCTTTTTCTTGGGTTTTCTTCTTTCTGCCTTCCCAGGAAGCCTTCTGCAGGGAACCCTACCGTGATCAGATGGCAAGCGATACTCGGAAGGAGCAAAAAGTTCAGAGGAATCTACCTCGGAACTTTTGCCACCGAGAAACTAGCTGCGAGGGCATATGATGTAGCCGCGATCAGGGTGAGAGGACCAGATGCTGTCACCAACTTCAGCAAGCGACATTACAACGTGGCTGATATTCTCAGAAGGCAAGAGCTGTACTTTGGAGACGGCACTTCCAGAATGTTTGAGCTCTTCAAGGTGGATGAAATCCTTACAAGGCGGAGAACTAATGCAAACCAGACGAAGCCTGATGAAGGTTTACGATTTCGACACCTGGTTGAACGACTGAACATGACTGGAGGAGCTGCTGCTGCTGCTGCTGTCCAGAATCAGAATCCTGTCCCTCCTCCAATCCAACCGGTTACTGCTACTGCTCTGCTGATGATGAGCGGTGGTGGTGGCTGGACCGGGCATCTGAATCGAAGCTTGGAGGTGGGCAAGGTTGATCCAGTGGAGATGGTGGGAGAGATTTATGTTGCTGCTGTGAACACTACCGGCTTCCCTTCTCCCCAGGCTGGCGGAATTCAGACTCCAATGGATCTGAGGGGATTCAATAGTAACAATGCAGCACTTCAGCCTCCCCTCCATCTTCCCCAACCACTCGCTGAGCCCGGATATCATGTGCACGTGCCCACCCTGCAATTCCCAGGGGTCATGTTCTCGCCGAAGAACGACCATTGCCCTAATGGAGTTGCAGCAGGCAACCAAAGGATTCCTAACAGTGGACCATTTGCTGAAAATGTAGAGGGGTGGCTCAGTCTCTGAGTCGCCGAATCTTCGAATTTTGTCCTGCTCTTTGCTTATTTTCCTGTTCTATGTTTTCCCTTTGAGGTTGTCTGTCGGATTGTCAGTCTGTGTGTTGTTGTAGTAAGGTTTCTGTCTATTCCATTTCAATGGAATCTTAGTTTGTGTATTGCCTCTTCACTTCCATTACCAAATGGAACTAAAGTGAAAAGGCAAAAGTTACAGTTTTACCATCAATAAAACATAAGCAAAGAGTTATTCAGTTAATCAATCATTCAACCTTTCTTTTGCCCATTGATTCCAACCCCCAAACTAGTGCCTTGTAACACAAGCAAGATGACACTTCTGCCACTCTGATTATACTTCTCTTGACACCATTTTCAGCTTTCATTTCTTTCCATGATATTTACTTTTGTGGTGCTAAAGACCCAAGAAACCACAGAGGCAAAACGAAAAAGAGGCAAATTGTTCATTATCATACAGAGCCTGTGAAATCCACTACTATATATCCAACTCTTTTCGACACATGAAAGCAACTTCAGCCTGACCATACCTCGCGAAGCAGTTCGTACCTCGCATTTGCGACCTTCTGCTCACTCTGCTTTCCGTTAATCCAATTCGAGGAGGATTTCGAGCTGTCGAGAATCGAGACGAGGGGAGAGTCCAGCTCTTCCAGTTCCTCGTCGCTAGTGTATCCTTTCCTCTGTACAACTGAAGCATTTATCGACAAGTGAGACTCCAAACCACCACCACCACCACTATTAATATCATCAGCTTCTGCAACTCTCTCCGATACCGCGTCACATGAAGGTGGAATGTACACAACTGGTGCAGCAGTATAAGGGAAGCTCCTCATGGATGCTCCTCCTGCAAGTTTGCGCTCCACAATGCTCTTCACCCACAAGCCAAGACAATCCGAGAAATGTCAGCACCAAAATCATCCTAAAGAGCAAAAACAAAACAATTTCGAAGGTGGAACCATAAGTACCTCAGCGTTCAAGGCTTCTAGTACAGCTCCGGGGACAGCATCGGGACAGAACTCGTCTGGTGTAAAATTGCAGAGTATCCGCTTCACCAATGGAAGGCCAATTGACGGGCAAACCTAAACGAATAGGCCACCGTTTCAGTTTTCCCGTAAGAAGGTCCGATAAGGTATAAAACAAGTGAAAAGCGGGGGGGAAAGTCACCTCTTTTCTCACTGATCTGTCAATTAGCAAGTCCTTCGGAAGCATAAGAAGATCGCTCAAGTCATTGAGAAGGTTGAAGCACTTGGGTTTGGCATTTTGTCTATGGTCATCATCAACATCACTACTGGTCTTTTCTTCGCGATCTGGGGTTTCCTCATCGTCCATCGCCACCGTATCTAGGAGCCATCTTAACCAATTTCCAACCTGCAGCATACCGATAGAGTAGCTAGTGAGCGAAGCTTCATCTATTCAGAACTGGTATAACCTTTGATTGGTTTAATGAGATGGGCGACGGAAGAAGAAACAGTACAGAATTCTTGAGTTGTGCTCCAGAGCCAAAGCTCAAGTCCCCCGCTGGTATAGGCAGAACTCTTGAGTCCACAATAGGGTCTGAAACTGGATCAGTTGGGATCTCATGGGCTGACTCTCTCAGAATAGCATTGAACATCGCTACGTCAAGCCTTGCCACACACTGCTCCATAACCTGGCACCAAGAAATAGTTCTTGATCAAACATCTACGTAAGGAGGTGAAAGAAATGATTCATTTACTTTAACTTGCAAGAAAAAAAGAGCAACATTAAGATCGTGTACCATTTTGGCCATGGCTGGCAAACAGCCACACTCATGCCCTCCTGCTCTAACCGGACAAATTCGTCGTAGAGCTTCTTCAAAAGCTTTCTTCCACAGGTTGATGGAAAAGTTGCCTTGTTGCTGGTCTCCCAACGCTGGGCCTAATAATCGTGAAATGCTTTTGTTGGAGGACAATTCTTTGCTTGGAGCTTGCATATGTGGAGTCAATGCCTGAAACATAATAAACAACAAGCAAGTGCTTGTGAATGACGGATACAAAATGAGCCAAGGAAAACCATCCACTTGAAAGTCAGTATGTTCTAACTATACCTGCCACCAAACAGACTCCACTATTCGAGAGAACACCCACGACTCAACTTTCTCCAGGGCAGCAATGAAGGTTCCAGTCTCCTGCCAATCTTCAACAAAGTGGGGATACCCATTACCTTGTTTATTACCACCTTTCCATTTCAGTGTCATACTCCCATTGGATCCTGTGAATCTCGACATACTAGAGTTACCCGAACACCCAAATGCTTGGGTAATGATCTCCCTCAGCACAATTGTGTTGGACAGCCAGAAAGATAACCTTCAAAACATGGAAGAAAGATTGATAAGTGTACATTTATCAAGACGGTTTCAGCAAAATAGCTTGTTGATATATATATATACCTGGGTACATCAGTTCCGCATGATTTAGAGATCAGTACCAGCCCTGAAACTGTGTTTTTCGCAATTGTGGCTCGCTTATCCAGAGTCCAGTGCTTGCCAGCATGAATGTAGAGTCTTGATAGCCGCCGAGCAGGTGTATGCACCTTATGTGCTGAGCTCCCATGTTCAGGTACAACAGAGTAAAGGGAGATTTCAAGTGCAGCAACTTCTCTCAGTTCCTCTTCAAGTTTCTCAATTTTTGTTTCCAACTCTGCAATTCGTTGACTTTGGAGTGTGGCATCCTCCCCGTTTTCACCATTGTCTTCAATTTCAACGGTTTCACTGTCACTTGCAACACTCTTTGTAGTGGCGTTTGAGGCCTCCTCAAACACATCTGCCTCTTTACCATCATCGGTGATCAGATCTTCTACTCCTTCAGAAGTTTCAGAAGGAGGTTTAGGGGCAAGTTTAACCTCCTTAGCAGCAATCTTTAGGGCAGAAGCGTTTTTGCTGGTCACCTTAGATGGTTCTTTACTAGAGACTGCTGGCTTTCTGGGGGTTTTAGTGACTGCTTTAGCTCTTGATTTACTAGCTTCTGTATCTCTTATTACTGATGTGTTTTTCCTAGTTCCACCAGCAGTTTTAGGAGCTCTAGAAACTGATTCTACCTTCTCATCATCGCCTACAACAGAATCCCCACCGTGGGATGACACAGAATCTTTTATCGTCTCAGAATCTGACTCTTCTTCCTTCCCTAGCTTCTGATCTCTCTCAATATCACTAGAATGATCACCTACAACCTCACCCATGTTCTCCTTCGACACCAAGATGCTGCCTTTTTTTGCACTGTCCTCACACCTGTTCACATCATCCACATAATGTATAACCAGATTTTCATAAACTTCGGAGGCCTCTGAGCCCACATTCGAATCACTTACTACAGTTCTGGAGTCGGGGTTAGAAGCATGCACAGCTTTAGATTCCGTTTCCTTCGGTCGACGTTGGCCTTTAGTTTCAGTCTTCCCGGGTCGCTTGGAAATGTTAGTGTTTGGAGTTTTCTTCTTGTCCGTCTGTTTCATAGTTCAACTTGTTTTGGTATATCACCTCCCCAAATGACACTGTCAACTTATCCAGATGCAGCTGCTGCAAGGAGAAAGAAATGGTTCAAACAACTGAACCCCAACTCAACAATGAAAAGAAACAATACTGTGCACAACCAGAATCTGCTTATCCTACCTACTACAGTGAATCCCCATCCCAATTTCTCAATAAGCTAACATGCTTCTTGAGCATTTTGTTGGGGCAATCATACCATCTAGAGAGCAGTAACACAAACAGTTACCGTGGGACTATCAGGGGACATGAAACGCATTTATAAAGCAAAAAGGGAATTGCAGGGCTCTAGCGATCTTAAAGCAGAAAGCTAATTATCATGAAGCCATTAAAGGTTTAGCTTCCACAGCCACTCACTGCTTCCCTGGAACAGGAAACTTTTGACTAAACTTGAAACACAGATTCAAAAGTTGAAACTTGGAACGGAAGTCATCCATAACACGCAGCAGTAGAATAGAAATGCAATTTCTTCACCAAGTAAAGCGAAGAACCCTACAGCAATCCCGAATTCTTGAATCGAAGCACTAATGATTCCTATACCGCATCACCACAAATTTCATCGCCCAGGCATTAGAATCCAGATCTGCTCAAGACATCGCGCATGCTCTCAAGAAAAGCAGAAGAAACTAACGGATATTGCCATAAAAGAACTGAAGAAGCACTGAACTAAGATTCAGGGAACTGAGTTCTCTACTGACTCAAGAACCGGAAGATTGATTCTCCCAGAACTAGAAAATAGTCGATGCGTCAATAGAAAAGCAGTCAAGAAAAAGAAAGAAGATTCCAAATTCAGAATTCCCGAAAAAGAAAGTGGCAGAGAAACCTCTATGAACTGAACACAAATCTCTGCTGCAGGCCAAGCGAGCGAGTTAACGAAAGCGAAATCTCAGCCTAAATTCCCGAAATTGAGCAATTCTTCCCCTCCGCATTCCCGGAATCAGACAAAACCACCACACTTCCACGTCGCTACCATACAGAACCGCTCAAGCAAGCAAGCAAACAAACAAACAAACAAACGGGGACCCGAGATCGCATCCGCATAAAAAAGAAATGCTGTTGAAGAGAGAAGCGCCAAAAGCAGAGAGCAAAAGAGAGAAACTGACCACCGCCGCAGTTGGCAGAGAAGAGACGGCGACGCTTCCTTGGAAAGCCAATGCCACTTTTTCCCCCCGAAGACTGATGACAGCGACGGCACGGAAGGACGGAAGGAAGGAAAAAGGCAAAATTCCGCAGTACGCTTCGGGATCAGCGGTGCCTCTCTCTCTCTCTCTCCCTGTGATAAATGCGAGTTTTCTTTCACCGACGGAAGGAAAGGAAGCAAGCAGGCAAGGAGTGCGGGAAAGATCAGAGTGGTGGGAATGGAGAGGGAGAGGGAGAGGGGTTTATTTTAAATCGTGTTTAATTAATTAATGGGGGTGTACGGGTACGGGCAGAGAGGGCAGTCGGTGACCGCTGACCGGGATAAAGGGGAAGTGTCGGTGGAGGAGCGGGTGACCGGGAATCGACGGTTACCGGGGTGGCTTTTTCACCCACAGGTCCGGTTATTTGGTCCGGACTGTTTGGTTTTACCCGAAACCGGATCGTATAATCCAGATCGGGACCGGATCGGGACCGAATAGCAAACAATTCAATCTCATATTCGGGCTTAGATTTGAGGTAAAAAACCCGGATAAGAGACCGGAACACTCAAATCCCGATAAGCTCAATCTAAAATCACGATCAAATTGGGACCAAACCGGGTCAAGATCGGACCAGATCAAAATCGGACTGTATCCAATCCAATATTTGTTCCTTATATTCCCGAAAAGACCGGACTGAGACCGGATCAATTTAGTCCAATTTAACCGGACCGAACCGTATAGCCACCCTACAGCCGGTCACATCGACCCCAGGCGTTACCGTTAAGTGCAAGTTTTACTGGTGCACCTAAAACTCTGCCCCCAGTGAGTAAATATTTTACCCTTCTGGAAGATAGATAGATGAACGTCGTTTTCCCCAAACAAACTGAAACTGGTGCTAGATCTTATTTTTGGCATGGCGTCGTTGTTTGGAAATCGGCTTCGTGGATGGCTGTGCTTGCCCTTTTTATGTGTCGTGGAGAAAGTGACCCATCGGTTTGGAACTTGGAAGGTCAAATGTAATAATCTCAATTCTCGACTAAGATTGGGCTTTGTTTGTCTCAAGATGTTGGACTTAAAGATAATTATTAATTAGGGAGAGTGGCTTGTCATCATTTTGGTTCGCGTATCATTTCAGTTAACCAAAACTGAACCGCGGTCTATGCTTACAATTGGTCACAAATGATTTCATCATTTAAATCACAACTATCACGACGGTTAAAAATGATTTGGGCACCAAATGGATGGAACCATTAATCTTCTTATCGGCTCGATTTAAAATTAAAACCAGAAGAACACCCCCTAAATCGAGTTCATAATAATCTAAAAGGTTGTTTACGAATGTGGTGCTCTTATGATAAAAAGAGTGACCGGCAGGTCCTTGGAAGGAGAAGACAAAAAGGTGTACGAAGAATGGGCCATGGGCTAAATTCTATGCTAGACGCCAATTGCTCCTCAACTAATAAAGCAAATGCTACGATATTGGTGACAAAATAGAATGTTACCAAAAACTCAAAGTTGATGTTTTAATTTTGTAATAATACAAGTGCTCTTATGATGTGTGCATTTGAATGGAGTATTGGTTGCAAGAAAAAAAAATGCATATAAGAAATACATTATTTAGTATTTGTGATTCACAAAAAGGAAAGCACATTATAAATATAATAATTGAAATTAAAGATAGATAATCCCCCCCTATATTTGTGAACTCTTGAAAAGTCCTCGTGTTGCATCCCTTCTTATATGATTTTAGCAATAGGGTAGCCCATTTGGTGGCTAGAAAGGCTCTTGCATTGTACTCGACTGCGAGTCGTTTCTTGATTTCAAGACCTAGCTGAATTCCAGGATGTAACTACATATTTTTCGAATCAATGAATGATTATCTTTTGTCAAAAAAGAAGAAGAGAATTTGCCTTTTTTTTTTTTTGCTATGATTCTAGAAACTAATGACTCTTGTTATTTCATAGATTAAAGACCCTCTGTTGCTATGATTTGAACACAGATTATTTGTCATCGACCAGAAGTTAATATTGTTTCACTATCCGGTTAGTGAGTCAGGTCCAGGAGCAAAGCGCTCGGGTGGGGGGTGCAAGGTGGCCCTTGATCCACACTCCACGGTGTATGGACTTATACACGTTTTGTTTCTGTTTTAGGTATGCCCTGTAGCCTTTCCTTTTCCAGGTTGGATTAGATTAGACCATCTGGAGAAAAATGTAATATATATACATTCACAGTTTATGTAATTCGTATATTCTCAAGAATAGAGAAACCACTCTCTCCTATCCGTGGACGGTAGCTAACACACATCGTGTTAGTGAACCAAGTAAAATCTCTACAATTTTTTTTCCCCATTATTTTCTTGCATTGTCGATTTCCCAATATGTTATGACACTTCCCGCTCCGAACACATATACAACGAGAACTCAAACTATTTTAGCTTGCAACAACAACAAATCATAGAAAATAGCTAGATAGGCACAACTCAGAAAATCATTCACCAGATGATCAGAAGAAGAATCCTACCTTGGAAGCAAATTCAGGAACACGATCCATTTGATTTGATTCATGTTGAATTTAATAGTGTAGAAGAAGTTTGGGAGGAAATTTCCAGTGATGGTGGTGGTAATGGAGAATGGGTGTGAATGTGATAGTAGTGGTGGGTGACATGCCAGCCAGATACAGCCATCAATTCGTCTTCAGGGTTGCATTCCAAGTACACTACAAGCTAAGCAAACAAATCTGCTGGGCCAGAAGAGAAGATCATCACTTGCTGCCATTCAATGTCAGGTTTTGTCGCTCCATGGGCGGACCAGCGCTGCAGGCGCCAGCAGCATCTTTCTCTCTTATCTGTACTTTCAACAGTTCTGTTTACTCACTGCTATTGAACAGGTATATGAGGAGGAGACTAGAATTAATTGGGTCTAGACTTCCACGGCCGTCCAATGAATTGGGAAGGTCCCCTCCAAAACTAAGATATGGTCCAGTTAATATATATATATATATTTTTTTTATCGGGTGAATGAATCCTGTTAGAACAAATGCAAGTTAAGAAGAGTCTGTACAAAAAGCAACGGAGCCACCCACCAAGAAGTGGACATAGGGCTGCAAATGAGTCAAGCCATTCGCGAGCAACTCGGCGTTCGAATCGGAAAAAACTCGTTCAACACTCGACTCGTTGTTTAACAAGCCGGCTCGCGAGCTGGCTCGTTAGTAAACGAGCCAAGCTTGAGCTAGGCCATGGTCGACTTGATAAGCTCGTGAGCTAGCTTGACTCGGTGGCTTGTTGAACTAAGCTCGCGAGCTGGCTTGTTTAAAGCTTGTGGAAGGATTAATTACTTTTCTGAACATGAAAATTATCTTGTTAGTAAGGATGTGTATGGAAGTTAGATGTTATTTTTAGTTTTTAGTGTTCTTTTTATCATTTTTAATTTCTAATGTTCTTATTTGTACACATTTTTCAGCAAGAATGGTTTCAAATCGAGCTTATATATCTTGAGCCGAGCTTGTACTCAGCTTGACAAGCTGTGTTAATGAGCATTTACCGAGCTTTATCGAGCCGAGCTCGAGCTGGATTATTTTTAATCGAGTCAAGCTCGAGCTCGAGCTGGATGATGAAAATTCGAGTTCGAGCCGAGCTCGAGCTAAAAAATTTATAAACGAGCCGAGCTCAAGCTAAGCAAAAACTCGACTCGACTCGGCTTGTTTGCAGCCCTGCATCACCTCAACCTAGAAAAAAATGACTCAATTAGTTTTTTTAGTATAATGAAAGTAAAAAATATCAAATCATATTTCTTGTGTCAATTGTTAACACGAATTGCGCTTTCAATTCACAAATATGACTCTGACAATCATTATTATACATGTCTCGTGGGTATATACATAAGAATACTGACCAATGACTAATTAATATTTATTATAGAATAATATCAATTATTGTACTCATAATCAATCAATCACACACCACAATACAATCTATAATGTACGATTGGATTAATTAACATGCCTGGGTGGAGGCTCCCCAATATTCGGAGACCTTGTGCCGAAGAGCCTCCAAGGCGACCCTAATGATTGCCCATGTTGAGGGTTTTGTCTCAGGAATTTTGGTTATCGCTAATTTTATGGATTGAATATTGGGATAAGACCTAGTGAATTTCGTTAGTAGTATGGTTGATATAAAAGGTTCAAACTATAGTTATCAATTCATCATACACCAAAAACACACCCTATAATACATGACTAGATTAACTAACGAAGCTAGGTGGAGGTCCCCTACTTATCAGGGACCATGTGCCGAAGGGCCTCCCATCACACCCAATTACCGCCCTGTTTTGTCTCCACGGTTTTGAACTGTTGGTTATTTATTGATTGAATTCTGGACAAATCGATGGTTATCTGTAACTATTTTTTTTATGTTTGTATGAATATCAGTGTTGGTAATGAATTATGCTTTGTTTTCATAACCGGACCGGAGGCTGAACCGAAAAGTTAGTGATTTAGGGTTTAGTGGTTAACCGTTACAAAATCGTTGGTGAACCATTGATAGAACTGTTCATGATATATAACATATAAGATTTGTATATTACACTAATTTAAGAATGAGATTATCGTTGATCATAAACAATTTCAAATTCATATCATCACCAAAATATCTAATAAATCATTCAAACCATCTAACATAAATAATGCATATATTTTTATACAAATTAAAATTTACGGTGCCAGTCGGCAGTGGACAAGGTAAAGTCGACAACAAGGTGGGAATGAGAAGAAGAAGCATATATAAAATTAATAATTATGATTTGATGGTCTTAGTTTATGTTAAAGTATTTTTAAACCTTTTTTGCTAAAATAGTGAACCGGTGGACCAAATAAACCGTGTTGGTTCATATGATTTTATGTTGAACCATGAAAAATCATTTGGTCCATCAATAACCGTCCAAGCAATGAGCCGGACCGCTAACGTAACTGGTTGAACAGTTCTACAGTCCGGCCGTTGATCCGGTTCGGTTCTTATAACAGTGGAATTATGTTAGTAGTATGACTCATATAAAAGGTTCAAACTACGAATCGATAAGTTGATAAGTATTTGCCTCTGATAGAATTTACCAATAAAATTCTATCAATTACCGCCCTGTTTTGTCTCCACAGTTTTGAACTTTTGGTTACTAGCACCGGACCCATCCCGTTGGGCGGGTAATCTACGCACAATCGTATTATTGATAAAAATTGAAATACAAACCCAATTGATAATAGTTCATTGTTTTGGTAACTTTTGCAATAAAATCGTGTTTGC